GGTTAACCTCTGAATTGTAGTGGAGTAGAATTACAAAGTAACAATGAGCTGTCATGTGGGTATTAATGCTGCGCATTATGGACACAAGCGATTTTCACCCATTTATTAATTATATGTTTTACATTTGATAACACCAATGTGTTTAATACTGGCAACTTCTAATTGTGGGAAAAACGAAAACGTTCAGTAGAGACGTCCCATAGAACATTTTGCGAAACACAATAGCCAGCATGTGTAGTTCTGGGGGGGCGTTCGATTCCAGTTTTGGATAGTCTGGCGTGGTTTCGTTCCATTTCAAACAGCTGTTTGACGCTCGGCGTAACCTTGGCGCACTGCCACTCCAACATCCAATCCCAAAGTTTGAAGATTAATCACGGGGAGTCGGACTGTAGTCCTAAACGATAGCTGGGGATTATGGGTAGTGTAGTGTCTTCGGCCATCCTAAACTCAGAAATGTTGACAATTGCAATGATGCTCGAAATGTCCCTTATAGGCCTACGTCTGTTTCCGGTTATTTTATTTTGAAATTCAGTTCCTGACGGACGCCAAAAAAGCCCGAGATTATGGAATTAAACCAATAAATAAAAGCAAGGATAATTGTGTGTTATTGGTGAGTAAATAACAGTGTGTTATTTTGAAAAGAATAACAAATTAGAAGGAAAAAAAGATTTAAAAATACAGATTTCAGTATTCTGAGGCTCTGAGCCCCATTTATTTTCCTCACAGACGGCAACAAAAGTCCGACATTATACAATTTAAAATAAAAGCAATAATTGTGGCTTGATATTGAGTAAGAACATGTTTTTATGAACCACACAGCTGTCGGTCTTCTACGACCCAACCGGAGAAAAAGACGTGCTGCAGGCACGAAACACATTAGGCTTGTTTGAGACAAGCGAGACCTGCGCAGAACTGCGCAATTTCGATCAACGTCTTGCTAGTGCGTTGCATGATGGTTAGTCATTTTGTCCGACTTGCTCTGGAGGCTCGCCTACATGAGATGTTGAAATCTCGCGGGACAAAGACGCCCGCAGCCTTGAGAGCGAGGTGCGGCGGCGCAGTTCCTCTCCACGGGCTGCGGAAGCGAAATGCTTGATGGGAAACGACTCGCTGGTATCTCGAGCTGAGCGGTCATTGGTGGTTTTTACCACGTGCTGGTGATGAAACTCTCCAATTGGCTCAGCAAAAGTTTGTTGTTGTTTTGTGTCAGTTTTACGTCGCCCCTCCATTAACATTTTTCATAATTGTTTCACAATGTTTATCATCATGAAATTAATATCTATATATGTTATACTAGACTTGCACTGCTTACCGTTTTCATACTTTATATATCTTAGCATATTCATACACACTGTTCATACTGCTCACAGGCTGATATCTAGTGTATTCATACCCCTCACTGTTTATTCATCATTCAATTCATTCTATATTTTATTCTGTAGATTGTGTACATTACTTTTCACTTTACTGCTTTTTGCACTCCTGGTTAGAAGCTAAACTGCATTTCGTTGTCTCAGTACCTGTAATATGTGCAATAACAATAAAGTTGAATCTAATCTTGAGCAAGAACAAATGTATTTACTTAGTACATATCTGACATTAACGATTAAACACATGTGTGCATTCTTTATAAATGCAAACCGAGTCAAGCCGACTCCGGAGGTGGCGGTATGCACCTTAAAGTTGTTTGCAATCCGCCAAAAAACCGAGAGAAGAAGAAGACGAAGCCGACTCCGAGCTGTCCGACTTCAGGCGAGCTTTTTGAGACCTCCCCCGGCTGCGATCGGCTGCGATCGGCTGCGATCGGCTGCGATCGGCTATTCTCGTCTACTTTTGAGGCGAGCCGCAACGCGTCTCAAACAAGCCTATTACCAGTAGAAATACATTGCTTTTAAAATCGTGCTGTGCAACACGAAAAAAAATGGGAAAATCGTGTTGGTGAACACGAATCAATAGATTAAAAATCGTGTTGGCGAACACGAAATGCCATGAGACTGGGTTGAGTATTTAGTATTGTTTAATGGAACGTATATCAGTGTATTAAAGTCAATACTTCATTTATTTAAACCAATATCTTTCTTGATTCTTTGTACAGTATGAAAAAAAGAGTCTTTGTACCTGAGCTGAAGTTCACTGCTGTGAGGAGTCCAGTTCTGTCTCTCACTCTCTGGTCCAGCCTGTCTGCATCACCTGGACACCTTAAACAAACAGATATATATATATATATATATCTATATATATATATATATATATATATATATCTATATATATATATATATATATATATATATATATCTATATATGTGTAAAGAACCATGTGTACAAACAATATAACTGATTCTCTTCTGTTGAACATGTTGGATTGTGTATTGTCCGAGTCAGGGTCCTTTTTATTTTACTGTAACTTTGGAAGTTGTGTTACCAATGCTTACTGTTTATTTGATATCAATTTGGTAATACAATTAATAAAAACAACAAGGTTTGGGTTCGTTCTTCAGATGACTGTGACGTTAACGTGTAAGCTCAATAATGAACTCCAGCTCAACCAACCATATTGTAATATATACACACAATACACACATCTTATTGTGAGGCTGATTTCACATACACTACTTCGACGTTAGCTAAATATAAAATAGCATGGATAATTTCCAAAGGCTTTAAAAACACAGCAGGAGCCCAAGACAATTATAAAACTTGTCATTAATTCAGCACAGTTCAATTGGTTTTATTTTCATAAACGGTTATCAACCGTTAGTGCCAAAGCAGTAGGCTATAATATATGAATTACTGCTGTAGACTACAACCACTACTTGATTAGCTAGCATAAACTCAACAAAGCTAGCGTAAGCTGACTGACTGACGTTATTTTGCCACTAAACTGCACGATATAAAACGGTGGCCTTCAAAGCGGATTTAATCCTCAATCACAATAATAATATTCAAAGTAATACTGGGCAAGTAATGGGCAAAACTTACCGTTGATTGATGCGCCATGTCAGCGGACTGGTAGCGACACGAACCGTTAGCCCCGCAGTCATCCGGTTCGACCTGACTGTGGCTGTGTGACTGTGTGTGACCATAGACTGTATATGTGTGACTGACCCGAGCCTCGTCGTTCTGATAGCTCCGCCCCTTCGCTCTAACCCCCCTCCCTCCCCCCACATCTACAGGTGAAAATTACTTTTGCGACACATTTATCGCAAGAAGTGTAGCAAAAGTCAAGACCGCAGATTCGTCGATTTATACTGCCACAGAGCAGATTCGTCAAGTTGTAATGACTGATTTGAGAGGTTGTAATAACCAAGTTGCAGTTGTAATGGAAAATATATTTTAAAAATATGTATTTTTCTGCAAGTGAACATTTCATCACTAAGTTCATTTTTTTTCTACAAGCTACAAAACTTTTTTTTTTCTTCTGTGACTTCAAATTTGGTTCACAGTTACTTGGATATTTTATACAAGTGTAAATGTATGCACACAAGATCAGATTTTTTTTCTGCAAGTGCTCACATCAGGTTTTACACGCTCTCGCATTTTGCACCATATCTACCTTCATACCACCTAAATAAAGTTAACATTCACAATGTTATACAGAACACAAGGTTAATATACAAACCAATAATAAGAATTCACAGTGACGGCATCACTACCTTTTTAGGTATCATTTAAATTATAGTAATATTAATAAAGTGATTTCTGTGTCGCTGATTCAGTTAATCAAGAATATTTGTATGTTTTCCATTGACAGAACAAATTGCCAAATTGGTGATTAATGATGAAATAATACAACATTTAATTACTTATGTATTTGTGCTGTGGTTTGAACGGGCTGTTTGAAGTGCCAGATATGTAAACCATTATGAGTAAAGCACATTCTGGAATCATGATAATGGTTTATTTTCCACAAAGTAAAAGAAAATGTTATTTAAAATAATGAATAACGTTCAATGGGTTGCAGAGTTTCTTAGATATTGTTGAAATTATAATTATACTAATAACGTTTGTAAAGCGGGGAACGAAACTTTCGAAAAAAAATGTATGCCTAGCCTCAAATATTTTTTTTAAGATAAATGACAACCAGACTTTTGACCAATCAAATTTTTGTATTGACTTTTTAAAAATGTCTCTATTTCTGACATGGTTAATTTGATAATTACTTTTTTTACAATTACATATCTACTGTCAACCCAGTCTCACGGCATTTTGTGTTATAGTCACGAAATTAATCTATTGATTCGTGTCACACAGAACGATTTTAAAAGCAATGTAAATAATAACAAATTAGAAGGAAAAACAGATTAAAAAAAATACAGATTTCAGTATTCTGACACAGAACGATTTTAAAAGCAAGTATTTCTATTGGTAGTATGTTTCGTGCCTGCACCAAATAATAACAAATTAGAAGGAAAAAAAGATTTTTAAAAATACAGATTTCAGTATTCTGAGGCTCGGAGCCCCATTTATTTTCCTCGCGGACGGCAAAAAAAGTCCGACATTATACAATTTAAAATAAAAACAATAATGGTGGCTTGATATTGAGTAAGAAAATGTTTTTATGAACCACACAGCTTCCGGTCTTCCAAGACCCGACCGGACAAAAACACGTGGTGCAGGCACGAAACACACTACCAATAGAAATACATTGCTTTTAAAATCGTGTGTGACACGAAAAAAATTGGAAAATCCTGTTGGGGAACACGAATCAATTGATTAAATTAATTTCGTGACTATTACACGAAATGCCGTGAGACTGGATTGCTACTGTACTTCTTTTTAATTAATTAATTTAAGTAATTAGAAAATACTGCTTATTTTTATTTGCATATAAAATCCCCCACACTTAAGTGTTCTATGTTTCTTCTATCATTAATTGGTTTATACAGCATGTCTGTATTCTCTATGAGTGCTTGTAGGCTTGTTAATGAGTATTAGTATTTTAAAAAGTGCCATGCTTTATGGTAATATTAATGTATCTGCTGTTGTTGTCTTGGTGATACCTCCACTGCTGTCAGACTTTCCAAACAGCCTCCTGCTCTCAGCCTCAGCCTCTGATTGGCTGCTCCCAAACACACACTGCCCAGAGTCTCAGGGTCTGTGCTGCTGCCGTCTCGTTTCTGCACATCCAGCGTCACACTGCCATTTGTTCCCACACATGCCACAACTGTGACGTCCTCGCTCACACCTGGACATAAATTCAAATTCAAATTCAAATATTAATCATCCTAGATTCAACTTATTTTTTCTTAAGAAATTCATTTTTTACAGAGCAAACGCAATACAAATGAAATACAGTTAAAACGATGATACCTAAACAAATCTGTAAGAAGAACTCAAAAATGATGATGGGATATATTTAGCAGGAAACGGATATATAGTCAACATCTAACCAAAGGTAATTTCTAATATTTTGTGTTTACCCATTTTCCCCATTTTTTATCAAATATATCAACACAAAAATAGGAATTATCATGGTTATTTTTTCCATTCCATATATTTCATGTATAAGTTCTTTCCATTTAATGTTTTTAAGGTAATCATCTTTTGATGATTTCCTTAGAATGTGGCTACTCTGACTACTAGGCTGAAGTAAATATTCTTCTTGATTTCTTCTATTTTTTTTTGCAGAAGTTGTGGGTTTTTAGAGCAATATCAAAATCCATATTTATTTTTCAGATGTATTCACCGTTCATATAACCCGCTGTGCTCTGCAGACATGGTCCCTCTGCCGTCCCGTTAAGCCAGATCTTCTCTCTGCCGTCCAGTCTGGCCTGCACCTGGAGACCGGACCCCTGGGGCCCAGACAGGACACTGCCCCCCACCTCCACACTCCAGTTGCCAATCCTAGACTGTGAAGTGTACAACACACACATTGTTGTACTTGTGTATTCATAAGAACCCACAAAGATATACAAAAATCTAAAATACAGCATGTATGTGTTTTAGACTTACTGTAACTTCCTTGAGTATTGCATGGCAATTAGGGAAGACTCACAAAAGTTTGACAAACAACCTCCGATAATGCCACAAATGGTAATCTTCACACACATTTTTTTTTTTAAACAAACTAATCTAATTTGTAATTTCGAGCTTAAAGTGCACCTGTCATGCTATCTTAAAAAGGCATATATTATGGGTCTCAGATATATAAAAAATATATAAAAACATGTCTATGATGTGTTTTACTCAAAATACAAACAGATGTAACAGATTGGTGCCACTCTATACTTTTACTCCAATTGATTTAAAAGGTTAATATTGTACTTGTTACTATGCTATAAATATACCTAAAACAACCTTTTCAGGACATTTTCCTGATTATACTTAAATAAACTAATATACTAGTACTTTTACTTCCGTGAAGGACCTGAATACTTCTCCCACCACTGCATTTTGTAGATCTAAAGATTAATCAATCAACCGAAATATATTTGGTAGCTTCTAAAATTGAAAGTAATGTTTACAAATGTGATTGAAACCAAGGAAAACTAAGATTTGATCCGGGGGATGTTCACCTTGGAGAACAGAGACATGTTGGAGCCCTGGGCTGTGGAGGAGTTGGTCAGAGCGACGGTGAGGCTGCACTGGTGGGGCCGTCCTGTCACCGAGAGGCGAGACTGAGAGTAAAACAGCTCCTCTCCCGAGTTCACTCTGTGGGATCCTGACCACGATACAGTCTGAGAGACACACAGAGAAAATAAACAACAGCTGGAGAAAGGAACCAAGCACAGCGGCATCCTGGGAGTCTGACATCGTACAAGAAATTACGAAAAAAAAGATTCCTCTAGGGTTCAGAGTCTATGCAAGTTGAACCACACACATTACCAAAAGAGCAGCTACAATCTGCACATGTATTCAGATGTGGGAGTAAAACACCAAACTGTAAATCATTGTGAAGGAAAGCAGTGAGAAGAATAGGATGCAGATGTGTTGACTCACAGGCTGGGGGGGGCAGAGGCCCAGCAGCACTGTGTGCTCCAGACGGTTCCTCAGGTTGGTCTGAATCTTCGTCAGGAGTGTGTGTGAATGACAGGGCACAGGGGACACTTTATCGAGGCCCACATTCACCTGAAGGCTGTGCATTCCCCGTGGACCCCTCTAGAATTACAAAAGCAGAAACATCAGTCAAACATGAGGGAATAAGTCAGGGGAATTTAAAGCTTACAGCGGGTTAAAGGGGGAAAGCTCTCTGGAGCCCCACCGCTGAGAGGGGGGGATAGATAACAGCAATCATAATGTTTATCCTGGTAGAGTGTTGCAGGAAGGAGTCCTAAAACCTGGAAATGAGTTAGCATTTGACAAAATTCCAGTCTCAAAGTAAATTTGAACGTGTTTCTAGATGCCTGAAACACAATCTGATGTTAGAACAAGCTGATTTTCGAGATGAGACTTTCAAATGTTGTTCTAAGACATAAAATACTTAAGTAATTACCTCACTCGTGATTGTCCCAAGCTTTTAGGCGTCTTAAATACGGTGGTTGCTAACAAGTGAAATGAGACTACTGAACTTCGCTACATCCAACATTAGCGCCTTTAGCTTAGCAGAGGTAACGAGCAGCCATGCGACCGTGTTATACTTCTGGGGATTGCCTTTACGCTTTAAAAATGATAAAAGTGGTGTTAATATGAAGGTTATATTTATTCGAGGGAGCCCTTGCAATGCTATCTTACGAGTTGGCCTGTATAAATACTTCACTGCACCACTATATTTTTAGGCATAGGTAACATTGTATTTATTGCTACTTTAGTAAATGTTGCCTGTTTCTTAAAGAGGACATAGTATACTCTATGAGGGGCCGTACAGGCCGTAATTCATACTGGTCCTCTCACGCACATACATTCTCCTTTTACATACATATATTTTCACTCTTACACACGTATATATTTACACTCACACATTCATACATTTTGCTCTCATATTATCATATTTCAATGCACACATTTATACATTGTCACTCACATATTTATACGTTTTTCACTCACACATTTTTACATTTTGTTCTCATATTCATATATTTTAATGCTCATATTTATACATGTTGCTCTCATGCACATTCATTCAATGTTTACATTTAATATTAAAAATAATATATGCATGTCTGAAGACAATGTATGTATGCAAGAGAAGAATGTATGTATGTGTGAGAGAAAGTATAGTGGAAACGGAAGGAGTATGGTTGAAACGGAAGGCAGGTCATTATCGCGCTGTGATTGGTTCAGAAGGTCGAGCGGGGCTGGCTCATGTTCAGAACTTCTGATTCAAATCAACATGATGGAGGGGGAGATGAGTCCGTGTATCTACGGACCATTTGTTTTTCTTTATTAAAAAGTAAACAGAAGAGCGTCTGCGAGGCGTTTTTGCTTTTTACCTTACTGAATGGTCTAATGGTCATTGGAGCGAGGTTCAAGGTTCAAGGTTCAATGTTCTTTATTTGTCATACAAACATAGCTACAGTAGTTATGTCGATGAAAATCTTAGGTCACAGGCTTCTCCAACAGTGCAACACAATAATACAGAAAAACAGACAAATATAGTGCAAGTAAATATTAAAAAGTAAATACAAAAAGAAAAATAGTTTTAAAAAAGTGAAATAGTGAAATAAGAGTCTATATGCAAGCTATTGGAATGATATATTAGATAAATAGATAAATAATTACTAAGTAGCAGATGAATGTTATGGATGTTGTTTCAACAGTTCAGGTGTTTAACAGTCTTATTGCCTGAGGGCCGCGAACCTCGCGGAAGTGATTTCAAAACAAAAGCACTCGTTTGCTTGGAACGGTGATAATATTAGAAACAAGGGGAAACAAGGTGAATTTAGCGATCACAACGAAAACGGCCAAGACACACATTGAGCCCAGAAAATGAATGTTATTAAGGGCTGTAAATATAATAAGCCTATGTCTAAAATGGACAACATTGTTAGGAGATTTAAACTATGCAGCGATTCTGCACTGTGGTCACTCAGCCGTCTCTCCACTTTGTCTTTTCAAATCAGCTGCTCTTCATTTTTTTTTTACAAATATTTTTTACCACAAGTTCTTAATAAAACGGACACTGTTGGACTCGGTATTATTTTGACTGCTACCAACAATAAAATGAATTACTTTTACTGTGTACTTTTTTAGTAATCCTGTCAAAGTCCCCTCCTGAGTACACTGCATGTTTTTCTGCTATCTTTGATGAGTGATAAAAAGACCATTTTACCATTAGTTCTTAATGATATTGATACTGCTGGACTCAGTAATGTGGTTGTTGAAATCCTCTGTCAAATTTCCCTCCTGAGAACAAAATCAAGCCACTTCTGCTAAGTTTGATGAGGGAAAAAAACTTTTTTTTGCCATTGGTTCTTCGTGAGATTGATCCTGTTGGACTCAGTACTAGTGAAACTACTCCCACAAGTACTATGAAGTACTTTTACTGTGTACTTTTTTAGTAATCCTCTATCAAAGTCCCCTCCTGAGTACACATGCATGTTTTTCTGCTATCTTTGACGAGTGATAAAAAGACCATTTTACCATTAGTTCTTAATGATATTGATACTGCTGGACTCAGTAGTGTTGTTGTTGAAATCCTCTGTCAATGTCCCCTCCTGAGTGCATGTTTCTCTACTATTTTGAATAAGCTTTAAACAACCTTTCTTCATGAGACTTTTATTGTTGGACAGAGTATTTTAAGAGGATGGTAGACATGATATCAGCACTAGTACTCCAGCAGCAGCATTTGACACCATGGAAAGTCTTTAGAGTCTGGCCTAGATAGCTGGTCTATCCTTCAGCACTGACACACCCTGTCACTCTTGTTGGCCTCTTATGAAGCTGCTGTCTTTTAAAATATGATTATTTCTCTGCTCCTAGTTTATTCCTCTCAGATTCTTCCATCAGTCCCAGTCATTGCATGTCAGTCAATAGAGCTTCGAAAAACGTGTCCAATTCAACTAAATGTTTTTTTTTTAGTGAAGGCCAGAGCTAAATTATAGATTGTTTGATTGTGTAATTACAAGGTGAGAGAAAATAATTCCACATCCTCCGATGAAACGTATTTTATTTACTTGTCCATGTTATACTTATACTTAGCCTACTTGTATTAGAACATTTGCATGTTGAACTACAGGCTGGATATCTTCCCCACCCTCAAGGAAATACAATAAAATAAATGGATTCATAATTTTAAACAATTGATAAAAATGTATACATTAATAATGTTGTGTGCAAACATTTCAAATTTAAATACAAAAGGAAAACAAGTTTACTTTTGAAATGATTTCTCACAAAAACCTTTCTAAATAGTAAATTATTAAAAAGGGTTTAGTCAATATACGTTTTTCTGCCTAAAATAGTTGAAATTGAACGTAAACTATATCAAACACCACATCCATGGCAATTAACCCATTTTTGCCCGCTATTTAAATTGACTTCGGTTGAAGTTAAAGGTGGGGTAGGTAAGTTTGAGAAACCGGCTCGAGATACACTTTTTGTTATATTCCATGGAATGCTCTTAACATCCCGATAGCAATGAATTTCTTAAGTGCTTAAGAAAAAAATATCATCTGTGGAAGCCGTGGCGCTGTAAAAAGCACGACCAATCATCTGAGCCGGCCCGGCTAAAGTAACTGGATGGCCTACCTGCCTGTCAGCCTTCCATCTGTGCACAAACTTATCTCGTGCCCTCATTGGTCATGTGCGCGTTCCTGTGTGTTGGAGGAGGGGCTCTGTGAGGAAGTAGCAGATTTTTTCCGGTTGTGTATTTTCAAATTCTAGCGCACTCGAGCCGGATTCTCAAACTTACCTACCCAACCTTTAATGCAAATGTTCATATTATATATAGAATATCATTGATGCAGTCTTTCTGAACACTTTTAAAATAAAATACTGCAAATGAAGAATATTTGTAATGTTCTGCACAGATAGTGCCTTAACTTGAATTTGAAAACACGTGGCAACTTTATTAATACAGCAGATGAAAAGATTTGTGGAAGGATAGATTCTTCATTGGCTTCAATGGCTCTCTAGATAAAGGGCGTTTTATGGTTGCTTGTATTATCCTCAGATAGTGGTTTGTTTAAAAAACTAGTGACATTTGAATAAATATTGCAAAAAAGGGCTCCAAAAAAGGCATATAACCTGGCCGGCTTAGCCAGTGTGTATTTTTTCAAGCACCACAAGATTCAGAGCTTATAAAGTAAGTACACAGTAAAAGTACTTCATAGTACTTGTGGGGGTAGTTTGTTTCACTAGTACTGAGTCCAACAGGATCAATCTCACAAAGAACTAATGGCAACAAAAAAGAATTCCCTCATCAAATGTAGCAGAAGTGGCTTGATCTTGTTCTCAGGAGGGGACTTTGAGTATTTCTCAAAAAATACACAGTAAAAGTACTTCAATGTATTGTTAGTAGCAGTCAAACTAGTACCGAGTCCAACAGTGTCAGTTTTATTAAGAACTTGTGGTAAATAATATTTGTATCACTCATTGAATATAGCAGGGAAAAAATAAAGAGCTGCTGATTTGAAAAGACAAAGTGGAGAGACGGCTGAGTGACCGCAGTTCAGAATCGCTGCATAGTTTAAATCTCCTAACAATGTTGTCCATTTTAGACATAGGCTTATTATATTTACAGCCCTTATTAACATTAGTTTTCTGGGCTCAATGTGTGTCTTGGCTGTTTTCGTTGTGATCGCTAAATTCACCTTGTTTATAATATGATCACAGTTCCAAGCACACGAGTGCTTTTGTTTTGAAATAACTTCCGTGAGCTTCGGAAGTGATTTCGAAACTCAAAGAGTTTCGAACGCTCCAATGACCATTAGACCATTCAGTAAGGTAAAAAGCAAAAAGGCCTCGCAGACACTCTTCTGTTTACTTTTTAATAAAAAAAAACAAATGGTCCGTAGTTACACGGATTCATCTCCCCCTCCATCATGTTGATTTGAATCAGAAGTTCTGAACATGAGCCCGCCCCGCTCGACCTTCTGAGCCAATCACAGCGCGATAATGACCTGCCTTCCGTTTCAACCATACTCCTTCCGTTTCCACTATACTTTCTCTCACACATACATACATTCTTCTCTTGCATACATACATTGTCTTCAGACATGCATATATTATTTATAATATTAAATGTAAACATTGAATGAATGTGCATGAGAGCAAAATGTATAAATATGAGCATTAAAATATATGAATATGAGAACAAAATGTAAAAATGTGTGAGTGAAAAATGTATAAATATGTGAGTGACAATGTATGAATGTGTGCATTGAAATATGATAATATGAGAGCAAAATGTATGAATGTGTGAGTGTAAATATATACGTGTGTAAGAGTGAAAATATATGTATGTAAAAGGAGAATATATGTGCGTGAGAGGACCAGTATGAATTACGGCCTGTACGGCCCCTCATAATCCTCAGGACAGGTTCATATCTGTATTTTCTGCCTCTACTGTAACATGTTTCCATGCTTTATGTTCAAAAACCTAGGGGATTCGGCCTCATGACATAAGAAATGTACTGATCTGAACCATTACGGAGTGAATTTCCTTAGCTATGTCTGCCCATAAATCAGGATGTCTGAAAAGAAAAAGAGGGAGCTGGGAGCTGGGAGCTGGGAGCTGGGAGCTGGGAGCTGGGAGCTGGGAGCTGGGAGCTGGGAGCTGGGAGCTGGGAGCTGGGAGCTGGGAGCTGGGAGCTGGGAGCTGGGAGCTGGGAGCTGGGAGCTGGGAGCTGGGAGCTGGGAGCTGGGAGCTGGGAGCTGGGAGCTGGGAGCTTTCAGAGGGGCCCATGTTCCTGTGTGGTCCGAGCTTGCAGAGTTTACCTGGTACTTCAAGCCTTGTTTGACGCTCCTGTTGTCCCATCTGAGCTCTGCATTCTGGGAATACGAGTTTCCCTCCTGACCCACTGACACACAACCTTTGACAGACGACACCGCCATCTAGACCACACACACACACACACACACACACACACACACACACACACACACACACACACACACACACACACACACACACACACACACACACACACACACACACACACACACACACACACACACACACACACACACACACACACACACACACACACACACACACACACACACACACACACACAGATCAAGTAACACAATAAAGAAAGACTTCTCCTACACGTGTGTACCATCCTATGAGGAGGGTCTTCCAACCTGTTGTGTGGAGAACAGAGCGCAGGCCTGCCCCCTGCTGGAGTTGTTCTGCCACTGCTTGTTCAGGCTGATTGAGATGTTGACGGGCACCGTGTTGTTCCATGACAGATGGGTCTGCAAGCACAATAAGATGAATGAATAATCATTATTATTATTATTATTATTATAATAATTATAATAATAGGAAAGTTAAAAAATGGACTTGCATATTTAAAAAAAGATGCAAACACATTATTGTTATTGCAAAACATAGGTGTTACAGCCTGTTTTGTGAGTCCATGATAGTAGATATACAGTATGTTTTAACTTCAGAGGTGGGAAGTGACGAAGTACATTTACTCAAGTACTGTACTTAAGTACAATTTTGAGGTACTAGTATTTTACCTGAGTATTTCCATTGTATGCTACTTAGTACTTCTATTCCACTATTGTTCAGAGGTAAAAGGTGTACTTTCACTCCCCTACATTTATTTAATACCTTAAATTACTTTACAGATCTGGATGAATGATGTGAAATATAATCAAGTGTTAAATCAGACTTTAGTTCCATCTGGAGTAAATCCACAAGCTACCCTGCAGTGTTACATGTAACATTAAGGCCACTAATAAAGGATTGAACTTGGTATAGAGTAGACAATGCCTTTGTATTAAGTAGGTAATACATGCGTACAACTTTACTATACCAGTGGTTTTAATACAATGACATAAAATCAGTGACCTTGTCCATTTGAGCGATCAGATCCAAAAGATACATTTAAAATGTTTTTATGAGAACCTGAGCTTTGTTAAATGTTTCAATTCAAATGACAGAAGCGTGGGGACGTGAGAAAATATGTGAGTAGTGTAGTATAAGATGAAAGGTGTCAGTGTACCTGGTGGCTGGTGCGCTGCTCCATCAGTGCGCTGTGTGTCAGGCTGTGCAGGGACAGGCTGCTGAGGGTGGAGGAGAAGGGCTGCTGCAGCTCCACCCTGCTCTCACTGCTCTCCTCCGAGCGCCTCCACCAGCTCTCAGCCCGGACCTGTAGCGGAGCCAAGACGTTAGTGAGGAAACGTTGGGAAAAGTGTTGGAAATAGAGACAGAGTGAACCCAGAGAGCAGGATGCAGTATGACTTGTTATTATCTGCTGATAGCTATACACTTTTATCTATCATAAAATGTCATTGTGAATGATTATGAAGTATTATTATACTTGACCTTTATTAATTATAAAAATGTGTTATGATTATTATTGAAGTAACATCAATATATGATTGCTTTTAAATGTAACATACAATGCTATAAGCAGTCTAAGTATTTATATTATGCCTTACAGTCATATAAAGTGTTACCAAATGAAAACCTCATACATTATCAAATAAATGCCTGATTTATTTTTCAATCAAATGGAGAAAATGACTCCAGCTCCAAAAGGATAAGGCCGATTGATATTAAAAATATGATTGTTATAAACCTCTTAGATCTTAACAATGTCATATTTTCGTCTAACCTCTTTTATATGCATTGTGACCTGTACCATGCTTTCATTTTTATTGTATTTAAATGTTCTGATTTGTGCTGTATTGTCACAGTCCTGATGTGTTCTATGTTTAAAAAAGAAAGAAAGAAAAGTCTAAACAAACATAAATAAAATCACTGTAGAATATGACCATTTGTGACTTCAAAAAGGGAGGAAGAAAACGATACAATGAATTCTTCACATTGTCATTATCACAGTCTGACCTGCTCCAGGAGGCCATGCCTGACCCAGCCCACCCCCACACTGTCCTGCCCGCCCTGGGGGGAGCGCTCCAAGGTCACCTCCACATGGGACCCCCGGGGAACACAGCTGACCTGAACTGAAGCAGAGAACAAGAGAGAGATGGGGAGCATAATGAAAGACCAACAGCTGCTACATGTATCACATGTTGGCTATGATTCAGCCCTCTTGTTAGATTTGATTTAAATGGAAAAACATTTGGCCTCTTTCCCCAATATAATAATAACAGCATGTGTTCTATAACCACACAGTTATTGGTACCTTGGTCTCATAATGATGAATCCCATTGTTCTCTAAAATGTGAAGGTCAAGAAGGCCCATATCAACTTTATACACAACAACTTCAAAAGTTCTGAAGTACCTTTGAAGTTCATGCCTTCATATTTGGTAGCGGCAGAAGTGGATATAAAATAATAGAACAAATATTGTTCCGTTTATTTATTTAAAAAAGACCATAATGCTTTACAGTATTTCATCTGACATTCTGTTTTCCTTCCTTCTATTATTTGTATTTGTATGTATTTGTGTATTTCCTTGAACTCACTTCCACCTTTTTCTATTGCACTATTTTATCGTACTATTTTAATGTTGTTTTCTTTTTTGTTAGTAACAAAACAAGTATGTTGCATTGTTGCAAAGTCTTTAAATCTTCAAATTAAAAAGAGAATCATTTAAGAGAATGAAGGTCATAATCAAAAAGACATTATAAATAATTATAGTATTGTTAATAAAATCCTGTTTTATACAACTGTAGAATTCATGTTTTTGAACAAACATGCCAGCACTCAAATGTGTGCAAGTGTGCTAATGAGTATATGTTGAAATCGTTTTTACTTCGAACTAATCCTTAAATAGAAAACATTGGTGAGAGTCAGAATCTTCATGATAACATGTGGATTAGAGCTGGGTATAAGAAAGCTTGGTGAGTGATGGTGTCTGTGCAGGTGCAAACGCTCTGCAACAGTTACCCTTCAGGGTGTGGTTCCCCTGCTGCAGTGCTGGGGGGGCAGAGTAGAGCCCAGACAGGACTAACTCCTGGCTGCCCCACACCGCTCCATGCTGGACCTGGTGGCTCCAGCTCCTCGCCTCGTACACCGTCCTCACTGCCACCGTCCTGGGAAGGGGCCTCAGCTGCAGAGCAGAGGACAGCACTGAAACACTGTGTGTAAGTATGTTGGTCAAATGTTGCGGTGGAAGACTTTTTAAGATCTGACCATTGTGTGTGCTCATGCCTGGATTACAGTGCAATATTAAATCACGTCTGGGGAACTCCCCTCCCAATTTTGTTATGAAAACGAGCTATACCCTCCTAAAGTCAGAAACCAGAGAAGAAAATCTCAATCTTGTGATGTCATCCATCCAAGTTATTCTTTTTATACCAAAACTTCTCCGGAAGTATTTCCTTGTACGATGTGAGGGTCTGAGGACAGAGGGTGTCGTTTTCTCACACTGATATTCTGCACAAACTGTGCTGTTGTATTTGCTGTAAAGCAGGGGTTCTCAAAGTGCGGCCCGCGGGTCAATGGCGGCCCTCTGAAATGTTTCTGGCGGCCCGCGATAGTTAATGTGACACGCTGAAATGCATGCGTTATATTTGAATCCTCCATGGTTGTATCTAGTAAGAATTAGAATGAGTAGCTTTCCAGCAGTATCTCCTGTGAGACTGTAACCAGGGCACAGCAGCCAATATGGCCGCTCAAAGCAGCTTGACTTCACACTGTGTGGGATTGGTGGATTTGTGTGTCCGTCAAGGAAATCTCGGCCGGCAGCCATCATGGTCTGAAATGACCAATGGACATCGAGAAATCACTAAGGGCCTACCCACCAAGTAAAAAAAACATAAACCACGTGTCTCCCATCAGTTTAGGTGTGTGAGGAGAGAGAGAGAGACAGATAAAATGGCTAAAAAAACGTTACAGTTGCCGACTTCGCTAGAGATTTATTTCGCTAGCAGCAGTGAAGATAGAGCCTCAGAACCTGAAGTCTTCGACTCTTCTGAAGAAGAAGAATACAAAGACAACAACAAGGATCCATTTGGACATGGGTAAGTGTAAATATTACAGTAATAGTGTACTGGCAATGTGTGGGGAATACCGCGAAAATGAACAATAGGTTTATTGATATATATTTTTTATCGATAGTCATGAACTTTTTATTGGAACAAAATAGACTCTCCATTAGCAAACGTTTACTCTGTGATAACGTTATTTTGGTGTGTAAAAGTGAGATTACATGTGTAGAGGATTAAATTAATCATTTATTCGTCCCACAACGGAGACATTTACAGTGACATGTTTTTGCCATCGATTATTTTATCATACTGTTCTGTACAGATGAGACTTTGTCATAGATTTATTTATATGTGTGCCTGTTATTATTTTACCGTCCTGTACAGATGAGACTTTGTAATCAGATGTAGCCTATGTATATGTGTTTCTGTGATTTTATACTGAATGTAAAGTAACTGGAAATGTGTGTGTGTGTGTGTGTGTGTGTGTGTGTGTGTGTGTGTGTGTGTGTGTGTGTGTGTGTGTGTGTGTGTGTGTGTGTGTGTGTGTGTGTGTGTGTGTGTGTGAGATCGAGAGAGACTCCTTCTGCAACCTCCCAAACTGTATTTGTATGTGTGCATTGTTATTTGTGCTTGAGCAACATTTTACTTGAACTTTATTTCAATTAAATTAGTTGTAATTATTGTCCTACACAGGCGGCATTTATCCAGCAGCCACAACATCCATCTGTGCTGGCCCCCAGGTCAAGATCTACTGTGGCTCAAGGGCCTTCACCAGAGCCATCACCACCAAGGACCAGCAGACCAGCATCACTACAGCTGCCTCCACCTCCATCTGCGGCTGCCACCAGGTCAAGATACACCTCAGCACAAAGGCTCCACCACAGCCATCACCTTCAACCCAGCCAGAAAGGAGGTCTCGTATAGCACTTGTACACCCCACCTACACAGCAGCCCATGCACCATCACCCCCATCTTCACAGCAGCCAGACCCACTGTCTTGGAAGACAGACAAAGACCTTGACACTGTCTTGACATTTATAATGAATAGTTGGTTGAAAGTTCTGATGTTCAATATTGTAAATAGTGAGATTTTCCAGTTTCTTATATTTATATAAATAGTTGGTTGAAAAAAACATATTTATAATAAATTGTTGGTTGAAAAAAAAGGTTGAATGCTCAATTTGTATTTGTACACATCACATGAACCTTGGTATGTAATATGAAGTCATTATTCAGTCCTGATGTATCTCAGTCCCTGCTGTGGTGAAAGTAGAGTGATAAACACCTGTTTCACTCAAAATGTGAATTTAATGTTTTTCATTTTAGACATGAATAACACATTTATATACAGTGTAATTCAAATATTTCACTGCTTTTGTGATCCTCGGACTTTGGTAACCAAATCTAAAACACCAAAACAATTCGATCACATGAGTAAATTTGTGTTTTCACACGAGTTTTGAAGATTTTCCAAAAATCAGATTTCACATTTTAAGCTTTTGAGCTACTTATCTCATCAAACAGTGCTCTAAGGTGAGCAATATGCATATATAGCAAGACCAGAGATTGTCCTGAACATTTTGATATTTAACACATGGGGTGCCATGTTAGAAGAAATACATTTAAAAGGTGATTTAAGAAAACATCTAAAAATCGAGAAAATACCCTTAGACTCCAGAGGGCTAAATTATGAATGACAGCTTGTGGAAAGTTTGCTAGACTACTGGTTGCATAGCAACTAGGCATCTCGCGAGTTGCGGTAATTGGTTAGTACAATAAAGAAAGGATTTGTTTTGGAATTATTTTGTGTTCCGTTTTTTCTTGGGCGGCCCTCAATCCAATATTGGGTACCTAAATTGGCCCTCACTCATCAAAACTTTGAGAACCCCTGCTGTAAAGTGTCTTTACTGTAGGGTATTTTTAGTATATGTGCAGCACTTTGGCTCGACCAAAAATCGTTTAAAAATGTGCTATATAAATAAAACTTGATTTTTTTAATTGTTTACCTTTTTTACAATTCAATGTCAGTGGAGCAGTTTCACATTGTATTCTTGATGACATCACACATTTGTTTTTAAGTTACTTTTTAGACCGAGAAGAGCCTTGTTAAAGGTGGGGTAGGTAAGTTTGAGAAACCGGCTCGAGATACACTTTGTGTTATATTCCACGGAATGCTCTTAACATCCCGATAGCAATGAATATCTTAAGTGCTTTGACAACAAATCCATACAAAAATGTCATCTGTGGAAGCTGTAGTGCTGTAAAAAGCACGACCAATCATCTGAGCCGGCCCGGCTAAAGTAACTGGATGGCCTACCTGCCTGTCAGCCTTCCATCTGTGCACAAACTTATCTCGTGCCCTCATTGGTCATGTGCGCGTTCGTGTGTGTTGGAGGAGGGGCTCTGTAAGGAAGTGGCAGATTTTTTCCGGTTGTATTTTCAAATTCTAGCACACTCGAGCCGGTTTCTCCAAAATTACATACCCCACCTTTAATGATGACGTATGTTTTTAGAACATAGGAATATATACATTGCTAGGTTGCCCCTTAAATGTGAATACAACAACAACAAAGTTTGGTAATTAAATGTATGTATCATATATTTGACTATTTGTGATCATGTTATCATCTAAATCAGTGGTTCCCAACCTTTTGTGTCTGGTGTCCCCCTTGAGCTGGTCTCCATTCTATAGGAACCCCCTCCCTCATCTGTGATGATTTGCCTACATTTCTTTCTTGTGCTAAACCCTTTGTCATCAAATTGAACCCAACTGTTCCTTACATTCAATCACTTGTATAACTCACCCTAATACAAATGCATTAAACCTGACATCTACACTTGTGAGTGAAATAACAAAATCATATTAAGACTTCTAGCAGTCACAACATCTTTTGTGAAGACTAGAGCTTCATGAGACACTTGAGCTTCCTAGTCTTTAATAAGCTGTGATAGTTCTGGGGCAGAACACCAGACTTATGAGAATCGATTTTAAAATGTTTTTTTTGAGTGGAAATATATTGCAATCTCTATTCTTTCTACGTACCCCCTGCAATCCCCTCAAGTACCCCTAGGGTAAGGCAACCACTGATTTCAATCATGTCCCACACCATTGGAATGCCTGTTCATTTCCCTTTACTACTGATGATGTAATTGAGTGTAGGGTCCCATATCATATCTAGCATCCTGCTCAGCAGTACCTGAGGGTACGAGTGTTTGAGCTCCACAGCCTGTCTGTATCCACTCTCTATGGCTGTCAGCTCCCCCACCGCCCACAGCCTCCTCCGGCCTGACGACACCTCCACCAGCCCTGCTACACCCGACTGGGACTGGTTCAGCTGCAGGGAGGAGAGAGGGCAATACAGTCTAATTACTACAACAAGTGCATGGACAAAAGTGACACAGCAACAGCATAAAAGGGGATATTCCAGTACACATGTTGCATTGCTTCATTCTCATCTGAATAGAATGTAATAAGCCCCCACCTGAGAGCGGATGTTGAGCTGAGGAGGCAGGTACACCAACATCCTGGGAATATTCTGCACCACCTTCACCATCAGGTCCTTGCTGGACAAAAGAACAGCTGTCATGTACATGTTCAATCCAAAACAGTTCATGGATAGCTTCAGAACTGGGTCCCAGGGAAATCAAAGCTTCAAACACTTTATTTCCTGCATGGTTGCATCGATGTATGTTGGAAAAAGTCTTGGTAAAAGTTTTAGTGTAAGAAAACACAGGTGACAATTAAAAATAAAAAGAGTCGTCAGATAAAACCTTTTTTCTTGATGATTCTTTTATGGTATAGTGGTACATCGTTAAATACAGGTACAGATAGGTATAGTGGTACATCGTTAAATACAGGTACAGATAGGTATAGTGGTACATCGTTAAATACAGGTACAGATAGGTATAGTGGTACATCGTTAAATACAGGTACAGATCATTAAAGTGATGCATTGTTTTGTGTATCTGTTGAGATACTACAAATAGTTTAAAACATGTCTAATGTCGTTTTATTACATTACCCTTACATCAGCGAAAAGATATAGAATATGCCAGATTGTAACTATAGATAGTTACGGTGTAGCGGGTTTATAACCAATATATATGTATTATAGATAGTGTTACTATAACTTTAATAAGAAACATGTTTATTGGTTTATCAATTGACTGTTTCCCATTCTGTTTCTAAGTCTGATTATTGTGTTATTCTTTCACACAATTAAAACTACTGTATATAAGGGTAAAATATGAGGCTGAGTCAAATGATTCCAAGGGATAGGAGGGGTTCCCGGTATATTCTCTACAAGGGGTCCTTTGCTGAAGAAACAATTGATAACCTTGAGTATGAGAGGGTGTGAGATAAGCCTAAGTATGAGTGTGTGCCAGAGTTCCCGTTAGCCGGTAATTACCGGACTACGACCGGTAAAACCGGCAAATCTAAATCTCTCCGGTCAAAGTGTCCAGTCAAAATCATTTCCCCTTTGCACAATACCGCATCAGTTGCGCAACTTGCGCCACTTATGTGACAGACAAAAGAGTATGTGACAGACAAGAATAGTCAACTCTAATGTATCTCATGTAAACATGTAAACAAATGCATAATGCTGCGCTATACTTTGTGGCCTCACCCAGTTGCATAGCGACACTTATTGTTTATGTGTCTTTTAATAAGCAGGTAGTCATATCATTAGCTAGAACTAGCTGGATCTGATCGATATGGACATAAACGCGAGTGAAGTCTAATCTGACGGGAGAGAGAGATCAGCTGCTGCTGACGAGTCCACACGAACAAAACACACACTTCAGGTTAGAATATCACACGTAGCTATTTTAATGACCTCTCAAACTACCTAAACTAGTTATAGATATGTTTAGTTTTACTGTCGGGTCACTCATTACTGGATCCGCGAGCTGCATGATACTGACGGGCTGTCAGGAGAGGGAGAGCGCTCCGTTTATTATTCCCGTGTTATTGTAATTACTGTACACTTTTGAATAATGTAGTTAATCTACTATAATTAGTTTGTTTAATATCGAATCATATCAATTTGTTTTAAAGCTCAATAAATAACAAAGAAGACCTTTGACCGGCACTTTGACCGGAAAAAATATTCTAACGGGAACTCTGGTGTGTGCATGTATTAAATGTGAGTGTTTCCAGTACCTGTGGGGCCGATGGTGTCCCTGCATGATGAGGGCCAGAGAGGAGCTGAGTTCTGGGTTCAGGGCGATGGAGCACCTCAGCTGGGACTCAGTGAGCCTCCCCCAGGCCTCCACCTGTCAGAGAGAGGGGGTCAGCACCAGTGAAGAGCAGCAGGGGGGTGTGTAGAGTGTGCGTGCGACCCTCACCTGTAAGGCGGGGCTGGTGAGTCCCTGGACTGTGTGCCTCAGAGTGACCCGGGCCTCCTTGGAGCCCCCGTGGGCCCCCCAGCCCCCTACGTCCCCCACAGCTCTCACTCTCCAGTGGGGACAGTGAATGTCTGCGGAGGCGCTGCGCAGAGGACCTGAGGGGAGGATCAGGAAGAGCATGATCAGGGTTCTTATCTTCTACATCAAATTCAAGGACTTTTCAAATCAATCCATCAAATGAGGAACGCACAACAGTATTGCTTGAGATACAGTTCGTGGTCATGAACTTTTAATGTTGGCCAGCCCCTCCCTCCCAAGAACAATAGAATAACTGGAACTGATCAAATAGCACAATATCACTTTTTCTCTCCACTTTTATCTCCTTTGTATTTCTTGTGTTATGATCCGAATTTGTTTTCCCGTTTTACAGTATTTTGAAAAGTGGTGTTGGATGTTGCATGTTCTGAGAGAGTTTATGGTTTTGCCTTGTTTGCCTGGCCCGTTCTGCCAATAAAGAATTTAGATTTTAAGAAACGGCCTTTTGCATTTGGGTCCCATGTACTCTGCTCTCAAGCCGTGACATTATGTTCAACATTTGGTTTTAAATGTTTTGTAAATACTTTGTATTTATTCAAGGAGGGACAATAGCCGCTTTCACACCAAGTATTTTGCCGTACTTGGTGCCAGCACTTAGTTCCCAGCACTTAGTACCCCCATGGAACTAAGTACAGATCGCATTCACATCGGAATAACTTTTTTCTCCTCAGGATAGTACCACCTCTCTAGCAGGCACTAAAAATGGGGGTAAAAGTTCTCGGAACTAAGTTCTCTTTTTGGTATGAACGCAAAATTCCAGGCACTAACAGAACTAAACGGGAAAAGTACGGGTAAAAGTACTCCGGTGTGAACGCGCCTAATGCACATTATTTAACATGAGCACTGGAGTCCATCATGTACATGTGCCAGATTTAGCCATAGATGCTAATTTCCATCTGGCGGGTTGATGGCATTAAATGAAAACATAGAAGAGCACATGAGCACAGAGAAAACCCATGAGCATAATCACAGCACATAAGCATAGTCCATTTGCAATCCACTATAATAAATGATAATAAAAAAAGTCTCCAACTTTTTATATTAGGCAGCTGGTACGTCACCCTGCCATATGGATGTCTGGCGGATCTTCAATAAGCCTGAAATAAATATCTTAAGTGAACCACCAGACATGGAATTGACATCTTCCAGGCATAACTGAAGGTTGCTTCACATATCAAGTTGAGTTAGATTTATACTCACTCAGGACTTAACCCTAACCATCCAAGGTCAATTGAGCTAGCAAATTGAAGGACACACTCTCACCTTGCTTCAATCAGACTTCACTCCACAGAAAGAACAGAAAGAGCCACACAAACGTACGCTATTTACTAACCTCAAGTTAAAAAAAGACATTAAAATATTCAACTATCATAGCCTATGTATTTTTAAAGTCTTGATTTTTGCCCTCAAATGGACATAGAGGTCAGTCTTTGATACTGTAGCTGAATGAAAGGACTGAATGTAAAACCCAGATAAAGCCCTGCAATGCCATAATCATTAAGGTGCTGGTTATTTGAAGGTCTTCCATATAAAGGAGAATAATCGTATCACCTCAAAAAGTACCGATATACAACTGCAGTGTCCCAAACTTAGGGAATAGTATTAAAACACAAACATGGAATCCAGAGGTGAATACACTCTGACCTTTGAACTGTGCAGTGATCGTGGTGTTCAGACTGTTCTGGGTTCCTGTCAGATTTGCAGCGGGGGGGGAGAATGAGAGTAGCAGAGACAGGCGTCCGTCAGAAACACTGACGTTCAGCCCGGAAGAGAGCAGCTGCTGCCCGTCCACAGAGAGCCGGACCCCCGACTGGAGCTGAGAGAAGACCCCCTGGACGGAGCACAGGCCCTGAAGAAGACAATAAGAAGAGAGGAGATTTTCTTTTTTTTAAAACACTCTTTGAATACCAGTTTGATGAACCTATATAATGTAAATAACCAAGATATGATACCTCTATGTTGCGGGGCAGCCCCCTCCCCTGCAGCCAGGACCAGCCGTGCCACATGCTTCCTCTCATCTCTTTGCTCGTTGGGAGAGATTTCATCCTGAGTCTCACCCCAGCCTGCTGACCTCCAAACTGGGACTGTAAGGTGAAGGCCTTCCCTCCTGCTGAGCCCAGCTCCACCTGTATGTACACACACACACACACACACACACACACACACACACACACACACACACACACACACACACACACACACACACACACACACACACACACACACACACACACACACACACACACACACACACACACACACACACACACACACACACACACGGGTTATGTCTTAAAAATAACCCATAAAAGATAGAATTAAGGAGATTTAAACTGAACAAAAAAATAAATAGGAACATTAGAGAATAAAATAATAAAGACTGAAAATGTTTATCAACTAACTTTTTATAATTAATTTTTCCCGCAGAAATAAAGAAAGCCCCCTGGGCTGGATTTTCGCCCTATTTTCTTGACAATTTTGAGCAAAACCCTTAATCCATTATTCCAGAAAATCTGCTTATGAGTCTATAAAGAAAATAAATGTTTGTTGAAGACAAAAACACACTTCTAAGATTTAAAGCACTATTTTTTCACATTTAAATTCTTAGATTGAAAAGTCAGACAGGAAATGTAAATGTCCACCTACTCCTTAGCACTTTGTATTTTTCGAATTTGGCCTTCTAAAAAAGAATTGGACAGGCACACCTTTATTCATTGAACTGTTTAAAGTCAATTCACTGTCACTTGTTGACGGTTTCTAACCTGCATGCTGCTGTCTGCAGGGACTCCCGCTCTCCTCAGGACGCACACTGTGTGTCTGAAGAGACTCTTCACTCGGACTGACTCAGACATCTGGGAGACGCTCATCTCCTGAGTTAGCTGGAAAACATGGAGAGGAGCAGCCGTTACATACAGTGGGAACTCACTATCATTATAAATATATATATCTTTTTATTATTGAACAATTATATCAAATACAAAATCAAAAGGGACATAAACATCAATGTTCATCACATCAATTCACAAAACTGAGGGCATTTTGAACAGAAAGAAAGTGAAAAAAAAAGAAATTCTTGGGCTGTTCTTACTTTGGCATAATTTAATAAATGTTTTGTATCATCATGCCTTTCATTTAGAAAGGCAATAGAAACTGGGGAAATATTGAAAAGCAACATTTGTGAATTTAATATTTTGCTAAAATAATCAATTGATGAATTCCAAATTCAGTTTTTTTGTTTTCAAATTGAAGGCCGGATTTTACATTATCATAGATGTGCGAAATGTTTTGCTCATTATAAATGAACCAATACTGGAAAGTGGAAAATGTCTAAATGACAAAAGGAGCTTATATTTCAATCTAAATTGAATCCGTGGTGTGAGAAATGATTACAAAGGTACATTTCATTCATGATTTTAAAATGTACTTCTTTAGCTTTTGGTGAAACTGGAAAGAAAAGGTAACTGGTTCTTATCTTTATAATATAATTGTTTGAATACTTTTCAAAAATATGTTTTCTTTTTAGCTGTGAATTATCCATTCATAAGTAATGACAGCTCTTGTGGAATAACCACAGAATACGAAAGCATGCCTTTAATTCAAACAATCATTGCTTGAGGGATTGCTTTAATAACTATCTTATATTGCCTGTCAGTGCATACTAAATTATATTTTTTTATAAATGCATCATGTGTTAAAACATTTCCATAATGATCCACCAAATGAAAGATTGACCAGATACTGTTTGACTTTCATTTGATTCTAAACTGATTTATAAAAGGGTACCTTCTGGCTTCCTGCACTGCTGTGTAGCAGGTAATAGTACGATCCGTTGTCATGACTCCCATAATGCATTGTGAGTGCAGCACTGACAGGGAGATCCATCTTCTTCAACACGGGCACAGAATGGTTCACACTGAGCGATGCTTCATTGATATCCTGGAAAACAACAGCAGTGAAAAACGATACGTGATGTCACTTCATCTCAATGCCTTGTGTAATGTGAATTGTTATTGTTTATTTATGTAACAAATGTAAAAGGACAAATGTTGCCATGCATATCCACACCTTGGTTTCCTTGAGAACCACAGAAGCCTTTAACTCTGCTTCATCAATCACCATGGAGACCCGAGACTCTGTTAGAGTCGGGGAGACGACCAACGCCCCAGAATACTCCATCCTGTCGGGACTCCCCCACTCCTACAGACATCAGACGAGAGGGGAAGAGTGATCATTGAATAATTAAATATAGTTTATTTAAGTGAGCCTTGAATAAATAAATAGCATATATGCCTGATTGAAGAACTAATACATACAAATTAATGTTAGAATGTATTAGATTTTCTTTTGCTGTATAATAACACTTCCAAAAAAGGAGACAGCATGTTTTTTTCCACCAACTCCCGTGACATGGAACCAAAGATATTAAACCGAGCGCTCTGTGGCGATAGCTTTACAATGTATCCTTGTTTCTTTCACATGCGTCCAAGTCTTGTTTGTTAGTAATAGGTGAAATAGGATTTAACAAAGCTTTTCAGCTCAAGAAACTGCAAATGACAAGTTTTTGTTCCTTTTTTTATTCACATATCGGGGCTAAAGAATGCTGTGTTTTTTCTTTAATTTGTTGGTCCTCTTCATAAAGAGTACATTGATTTACTTGTACATTTTCATTATTCATACAAGGCTTTGGCAGGTCTGTATGCCATTATAATCATGGCTACAAATCTATTTAAATTGAGAACTCAACTTGATTACCAGATCAAAGTCAACATAAAACATTGTGGACTATTCTACACAGTTCTCCAAACATTTGTTTTGTATGTATATGTAGCTACATCATTGTAAGAAGCAATCAAACTCAAATGACATTCGAAATGAAATAGAAACTGATTAAAAGTGATAAGCTATTGCGACCTCAGCAGTTGGATGATCATGTGGTGTGTGTACCTGAATGAGAGTGCAGTTGTTGTGATACAGCAGCGCCCCCTGCAGGCCTGTCTGTGACATCACAGCTCCACTGGCTCCCACAGTGCACTGCTCCAGCTGAACGAGGGCCTCCCCGTCATACCGCTGTTCACCGGCCCTGCAGGAGACCCTCAGTCTGCCGTGCTGCGGTAACCCTCTCAGGGCGGGGAGGTTGTGACGGAGCACGCCCTCCACACTCAGCTCCGGCCAGGCCCTTGCATTCAGCCTCAGGAAACCCCTTTTATCCTCCTGGTTGGTGTCCACTGTCACTGTCCAAACACCCAGAGGGCCCTGCCACACTGAGCCATTCAGATGAGCCTGAAAAGGACAGAATATCAACACTATTATCACTGGTAGAGATAAAAACGTCTTATACACACACTGACTGAAGATTCCTTATCCTTCAAATTGCCCCAAAGTGGTAAATGATTGACCTATAATAGAGTACATTTGGACTTTCCAGGAAAACCACCATCAATCCATCAATCAAAACCATATGTAACTTAGACTAACATTTGCTCCATTTAATTGAGCGCCCCAGTCTTAATTATTGTGATGTAATTATCCCTGACCTTTTCGTGACATTTCTACATGTCTGCAGTGAAAAAGGTCAAAATGCTTAGACAATCAATAATTGAATAGTAATTGGATCTCTATTTTATTCAGCCTTTAACTTTAAAAGGAGAAACCCCTCATAATGTGTGTCAGACACTAATGAATTCCAAAAATTAATATTGTTTTAGTCATACATGTAGATACCTGATTAAAAAGGAACAATTCACCCACAATAAGATCAGTTTCTCACCCTGTTACGAAAAAAATGTGTTTTTCTCGCATGTCTAGCTGGTAAATGAAAGATACACAATTGGATGGAAGTAAGGGCTGTGTTTAAAACCAGCAAAACTATATCAAAACATCTGTTTACAAACTGGGGTTGAAAGGTAAGTTGTGCACATACGTAACATCACTTCCGTTGGTATTTCAACCCAAACATTGACACATTTGACATGGAATTAAGTCACTTGTGTCATTTTTAACCATTACTCGATCTTTTTCTTAACCCTTAGATGCATAAGTGGGTCTTTTTTGACCCGCTGAGGTGGTTTTCTTGAAGTATCTTTGTAATTTCATTTTATAAATCATTTCATATTCCAGCTATTCCTCAAAAAACATGTTTTGGATATCATGCCATTCTAATTTTAAATTTACATTTTAAGAAATTGTAGTTTTTGTATTTCTACCCCAAGCTTCCACAAGTGGGTCAAAAATGACCCGCATGCATTTTCTATGGAATCCTATGGGAAAACGTTTTTTTTCAAAATGTAAAAAAAAATTATAAAATTATAAATAGTGAAAAATGTAATACTAAATAATACAAGTGATTTTTCTTAACCAAAATGACAAAAATGGCATAAAAACACATTATTCTAATACGGGTCCTTTTTGACCCACTTATGGAAGAGTGTAGGGTCCAGTCACTCGGGCATCTAAGGGTTAAACCAGTTTCCTCTGAAGCTGAAAGTTAACTTGCACGTTTACTTTATGTTGCATTGTTTGAGGAGCCTGGGACTTAAGGTTTTCATTGCCATATCTACACTGTAGCCACTATGCATATAACATTAAACCTTTGAATCTTTGAAATGCATATGAGATTACTAGACTTCGTATACAAAATGTGCAAGATTCGTAAGATATCATACAAACCGCTGTATGAGTATGCCTTGTTCTAATACACTTAGGGCTCGTAGCGCATCTCATCAAGTGTGAACATCTGAAGTGTTTTAAATACATACATCATTTTTGGTGAAAATGCAGATATTTGTGAAGACTTCAACATACTACTGTAGAATTAAGACTTGAATTATGCTGCAATAGTTGTGTAAGAGTTTGTAAACGGTTGTTTTGATATAGTTTTACTGTTGTAAAACGCTCCCCCATTTACTTCAAGTCATCCAGACTGTTTTGATTCTTTCTTCATCCTGGAGCCATAAGAGAAAAACACAAGAGCTCAAAGTAACACAGCTCGAGTATTTCATATACAAATGGTCATTGTATGGAATAAGGACAGCTTTAAAACAACTTCCTGCTACATCAAGACTTTAGTAGTTACCTGTAACAATGGGCATTGAGCATCCAGAGCCCAGAGCCACGGTGTCCTTCCTGAGGACCCTGAGACTCTATTGGCTCTGATGGAACACGTCCCAGCCTTTATGAGCAGGGCCCCTGCCTGCTCTGGGGCCGAGGCCTCTATGCTCATCGTCTGGGGCACGCCAAGGCTCCTCAGCCCAGAGAAAGAGTGGGTGAGGCTCCCAGAGAGACGTGGGGGCCTGCAGACCTGCCCCAGCTCCAGGGAGAGGCCCTCAGAGTCTGCCCTTAGAGAGGAGGTCATGGTGAGCTGACAGGGGCCGACTGACAGGAGGCCCCGGAGGGTCAGGGACACCGGGAGGACCGTTTCCTGTGGCACAGACATACAAGGAGGATGTTCATCAGTAGTTGTTTTTGATATAGCTTTATTACTTGTGGATATAAAATAAACTCTCCTATATTTGATATTTTTTTGTCATCATTTTATGGCTGGGACATGTTTACAAAAATAATGAAAGGAGACCAATGGAGGCGTTTCAGGCAGGGGGGAAGACAATTCCTCTGGAGTAAACCCCCAAAAGCATAAAAAGGCCCCATTAAAGATTCAATATTGGATAATGAAAATAATGAACTAGTTGCAGCCCAATGCAGATTCACATCTAATAATCATTATACGTTAATAGTCTTTTAATTCTGTATTATCTGCTGCTTTTTAACTTCCTACCAAACATTGCATACAATACCTTCTCACCCTTGTCAATTGTATATATCTTTTAAAGGAGCCCTATTGTGCTTTTAGGGGGTTCTTCCAAAGGACGTTTTGGATTTCTTTGTTTACTTCAGTAACATACCAGCATCACTATGTAACACTTGTGCATGATAGGCAAAGCGGCGGGACATTTCTAAGCGGTTGACCAATCACAACAGACCAGGCCAGCTAACCAATCAGAGCAGACTGGGCTCTGGTTTCAGACAGAGGGTGAAAAGAGGTGCTGCAGCACAGGCAGTATGAGACAAAGAAAGAGCTTTTTGAACATTAAAGCATGGAGACATGTCCCAGTAGAGACACTACATACAAATATGAACCTGAGAATGAGCAGAATAGGCCCCATATGTACAGCCCATGTTAAGTCCAGGGACTCAGATTGTCTCTTGGTAGAAGGAGATTTGGCACTCAGCAGGTGTTTTTACAGGTAACCCAGCATGTGTTGTTCTGCTCGCTGCTATAATAAATGAGCTGTATCTTGACTTTCTAATGAGCTGGAAACTGTTTTTCAAAGGAATCTGTGTAAACATGACCGGGTTGAACATGTAGGAAATCCCAGTTCTTCTAACTGCGATGAAAGAAAGATCAATATGTCGTCACAGTTTGAGTAAGATTTACAATTGAAACATATGAGTTTATTCAGGAGTGATTGATTGTCTGACCTGTAGAGCGGGGCAGTGGTTGGTCACATTGACAGCGTAGGAAGCCGGCTCCTCCTCTGTCTGTGGATCCTGGGTTTTCCCTAAATGACCTCTGAAATAACAACGACCCAGCTCCACGCCGACCTCCACGCCAGGCAGATGTGCAGCTGAGACTTTCAGGATGAAAGCTCCGTGGGCAGGAAGTCCCAGCATTTGTACGGCCTCTATAGAGTGCTGTACAGATGCTCTCAGACTGAGCTGAGGGCAACATGTGGAGTGCACACTGAGGCTGCCTTTCTGCTCCCCATCAGCATGGAGGACAGCTCTGAGATCAGTGCAGCAGCCAGAGCGGGTGACGGAGATGTTGGCTGAGGTCTGCGCTGGCAGGAGGGTCTGAAATGAAGAAGGAAAGATTAGAACCCCCTTACAAACTTATAAGCAGGGGGGGTTAATTAAACAAGTCTTAAGATGTATCCTTCAGGTCATAATCACGTTCCAATTCACTGTGGTGTGAGTAAAGAAGTCCTTGCTATAAGTGATAGAAGTCACTTTGCTGACCGTACCAATAATATTTATTATTTCAGCTTCTTTCTTTCCATGATTTTGAACAACATATTATTGTTAGCAAGGTTGCTTCATGTTTTTACTTTTGTACCACTTTGAACATGTGCTTTGGCAATAATGTGTTATTGATAAGGACATTCAAATAATCTATCTTGGATAAATAACTGTTTTTCTATAGCAAAATTCTTTCTGAAAAATACGTTTTAAAAAAAGTTTGTATACAAAAAAAACGAAGGACCTTAAAAATAGTAATGACTGTGTAAAGTAAAGTGCATACAATTACATACTTTGTGAGGCCTAATGTAGGATTAGGGCACTGGACTTCTTCTGGGATTGTTTTATGCTGAATACAGGTCTATATCCTTTGAACTCTAATTAATCGCCAATACATCTATTAACCACTAACATACTGAAGTTCACAAACAAGACCATTGCAATATATTTCAACTTAAGTGCAAAAAAGGTTTAATATTGTTGAGATAATTGTGAATAGAAAATCTTTGATGTCATTAGTGTGGCAGGTACTGGATCATAAACCAAAGACATGGACTAACTAAAGTGTTCACCTCATGATGTGCGTTAGTTATTACAATTGATTCTGTTCCTGTGATCATTATTTGTATCAGTGTTAACCAAAGTGTTGAACATAGGGACAGACATTGCAGACCATACAGTCTTATAAGCGCCCATTCCAGGGTCCACTGATACTTTTATCACAGAGTAACAGTGTTATCAATGTGAATTGTAATGTAATGGAAAGACAGAGTCATCTCCATGGCGAAGATGTTTCTTTTGCTTTCCTCTGCTGGGAAACAAGTCTCTGTGCACTTGTTTCCTCTCTAACCTTCAGTAAGACACATCGCTGGTGGACAAAAAAGCTCCAGCTGCTCCTCCTGTCTCCTCCTTTTTGTTGATTTGTCAGGAAAAGCACAGAGCACGCATCACTTTCCACCTCCAATTCAGCTCGACCAGCCGTGGTCAACATGCTAACGGTTAGCTCGGATGGTACTCTTGTGTGGGTCAGGTTTTGCTGAAGCATGACCTTCAAGGAGGTGGAGGGCTCCCAGGAAGTAGTCAGGTCCATCAGAGCCGAGCGGGTGTTGAAAGAAACCATGGCACTTCCAGAGAGGGAAGTGTCACTGAGCTCCCCTGACCCCTGGAGTTCTATTTTGTTTGGGAAGATGGAGGTAAGAGAAGCCCAGTGATGCTGCAGAGTCCAGCCCACTTCCGCCTTTCTGTCCTTCAGCAGTACAGACAAGAAGCACTGACAGGAGTCCTTCACACTTTCCAGACCTAGGGAACATGTAAATCCATCTTTCCCTGCCAGCCCATTTACTGTTAAAGAGGTTTTGTGTGGTACACCCCCCTCAACCCTCCTAACCTGCACCCATGTTAACCTCCCCACCCCTTTGCACCGCACAGACAGCACCAGACTTGAGGTCAGTGAGTCCCAGGCCACATTGACATCCGCCCAGATATTACACCAGCTTTCCAGCTTCATCCGACCTGTCAGCTCAGCCTTGTGGGTACACACACCGCGGCCCCCAAACTCAAGCAGTCCATGCCAGCCATACAGCCCAGGCCTCTCTAGCCTCAGTCCCACATTTAGGTCCATTCTCCAAGGGTCACAAACCAACCCAACACTCAGGGCCCACCTCTGAGGCCCAGGCCGGAGCAGAAGCCTGAGACTAGATTTGGTAGGCACGCCCAGATACGTTAGCATTAGCACGGAGGAGTGGGTGAGGTTAGCCCGGAGCTCCGTCTGGCTGTTAGGACCGTAACAGCCTTTAGCTCTAGCGCTAAGGCTAAAGTGAGCTAGCGACAGGCCATAGCAGAGCCTGTTGTGTGGTCTATAGGAGCGAAATACTCGTACCTCCACGGGGCGACCTGAGACATTTCCATAGCACTGGGCTGAGAGACGCTCTGCGCTGGAGTCCCCTGTGCAGTTCATCTGTGAAAACAAAAACACCCGTTGGCAAAGTTTGTTTTTCAAAGAAGAAACTGAAGGAGGAGATGGAAGAATTTCTGTGGAATTACTGAACCTTAGACGTGCAACAGTCAAGCATGTTGTGGTACACCAACATGCTAATTTGAGCCCATTTTCTAAAACATAAAATGTTTATTGTTGAAGCAGTGTTTCTGTTTAGTTCTTACTGGTTCATTTGATACTACTGATCATGGTGTGCAGCTGGACATGCTGGAATACTGGGACAACCTCTTTAAAGTCATATTTCTTGGTTGTTAGCTTAGATTAGCTGAGCATAAAGACACAAAAAGAGGAAGACAGCTTTCCTTGCTTTGTAAAACTACTTGATAACTATTAAATTGATAGTTAAATCATTTAAGTTGATAGTAATTTAACAAATAATACAAATATAATTTATAATGTTTAATAAATAGTAATTTAATGTATGTCATTTTATCATTAAGTTATCATTTCATTCTCTGTTAACAGTGAAATAGCTATCAATATACCATTTATAAATGATTTATTAATAAAGTGTTGCCATCCCTTTAAGTGGTTTCCTACATGCAGGGTGAACATATGGTAGTTGTACCAATGTATGGATGTTACAAGGATCAAGTGAAGTGCGGTGTCCTCCAGGGATAATCTGTGGGCCCTCTCTATTTGACATTATTTCCAAAAGCAACATTATTTTATGATAGAATTACATATTTTTCTTTCCAGATAATTTTAATTGATGGATTAACTGATAACTTGATGTATAAAGGACAACGCTCCAAATGTATTGTTTAATATGAAAGACACAGTCAAAGTTCAAATGTTCAGTCATAGGCAATCAATCGGTAAATTAAAGTATATACATGCTGTAAAGTTTACCTGTAAAGAGGTGGGTATGACACCCTGAAGGATCTTCATCTGTTGCCATAGAGACAATTTCAATATAGCTGCGCTGTTCTTTGATCCAACATTAAAAAGGATATCAACCACTCTCTGGTCTCCTGTGTGAAGGACCACGCCTGTGTCCAGGCTTTCTTTTTCTAACTAACCGTGGGAAAGAAAACACAAGAACAGATATCAAGTTGATACATCTAGTGTTGTTTATGAAATATGCTAGGGATATACAAATGGTAGATAGTCCTGCACCTGGTAATGTGCTTTAGCTAGTATGGAGCTTGATACACCTCTCTTCAGCAGGGCTTTGAAGTGATGGTGCAGCCTGGAGAAGAACTCCCATCGTTGTGTAAGCTGGTCAGTCTTTCCTCCATTAAACTCAGCTTTTAGATGTTCTACTCCAGCATGCAGCTCTGCAAAGACTGACAAACGACCTCCATCCTGGGCCCACCTCAGCTGGGCATCACTGCTGGCAGGTACACCTGTATTCAGTGGTCAAAGGCAGTCAGACAACAGGAGAAGCTATATGTGTGCATATGTATAAAGTAATGATTTACCTGTGGCATTTAGTAAGACAAAGGAATGAGATAGCCTTGTGTAGATCTCTCCCATCCCTCCATCCCCAATTCGGCGACTCGCATTCATGCACAAATGCTCCGCCCCTGACCGAACACACAGCCAATCACGTGCCATGTGAAATGTTGTTCCCATCATGTCCTCTTCATCTTCTCTGTCCAAAATATCTCTGAGAGCCTCCTGATGTCTGAGCTCCACGCTGTACAAGGTCTCCATCACTCGTACTCTCAGCTGTCCTACAATGACAATAAAGAATAAAAAATGATCACGATGTCAGGAAGTAAATGTCCAAACTAAATCACAAGCTATCATGTAATATTAAAAATATAATAATAGGTAACATTTCCGCATTCAAATGTCTAAAAACCTATAAACCTACAATATGTTAGCTATTTGGTTGTGTTTCCAACAATATTCAATATCAAGAAATTCCGGTTGTTTAAATCAAGGAAACGGTGCACTTCAATTGACACATATGTTGATGCATCCCCTGCCATAAATTGACGTGTTATCCGATTTTAAGCCACTTTTTTACAACACTCTTTTTAGATATTGGTGGTTTTTAGCTTAATATTTTACCCGGTGGAGGACTTTAGTCATCTAACGACTGTATCTTAAATGATACGATATGACTCGATAATATTGTCAGTTCAAGTGAAAAGCTTTTTTTGCAGATCCATTTACAACTTCAGCTATGACAAACATTAAACAAGAAACAAGTAATATGTCCGGCAGTGGCTCAGTCAGTGGGGGCTTGGACTGTGAGGGTCGCCGGTTCAAGTCCCCGAACAGACCTAAATATGGAATGTGGACTGCTACTTGGAGAGGTCCCAGTTCACCTCCTGCCCAGCCGTGGTGCCCTTGAGCAAGACACCGGACACCCCCCTCACCCCCACTCCCATTGCTCCCCGGGCGCTGTACAATAGCTGCCCACTGCTCCTAGTACTAGACTCCTGGTACTAGGATGGGTTAAAAGCAGAGAACAAATGTCACAGTGTGTGCTGTGTGACCATTAAAGAGGGTTTCATCCCTCCGATTCTATGTTCAACACCCTTTAATGTACATTCATTTGGGATTAAATTAAGTGTGGTGCCTCAGGGATCAATCACTGGGCCCTCTTCATTTTTCATTTTTGTTATCATAGCGTTACTGGTGATACATAGACATATGGTCTATGGATTACAGCTTACTCAACGTACTAAATACTCAAACACAATTCCCCACAACTTTTTTGGGGGATTAAACTCCTTATTTAATTGTAAGATTGACTGATTCACAAAAGAGTTATCACAGAAACAAGCTAAGCAGATGTTAGGAGCAGCCGGACTGCGTCGGGGAAGCACTGATGTATAACTGTTGTTTTATCGAGTATTATAGTTTAATACCCCAGATGAATTAATTTTGAAGAGGAGGGGACCTCTCTAGATAACTCAGCTCCCTGTAAAACTAAATATGAAAAATGAAGGAATCCTATCCAGGAGAAGCTAACTGCAAATAAAAACTCTCACGATTCCATGCTTCTTTGAGATGCATCCAAAGTCTTTAGATATTGTTTTGATTGGAAAACCCCTGGTGGCAGAAAATTACTAGTTGATTACATGAACACTACCTTCAATGAGGGTGTCAGACTGTCCCAGCAGCCCGTCCAGCCCCAGGACTGTAGGCAGCACAGCGAGGCTGGCCATGGAGTGCCTCAGGTCCCCGGACACAGCCAGCTGTAGACCCCCGGTGTCTTTGAGAGACCCTTTGAGCTGAGCCAGCAGAGCCTCATGGCCCTGAGTGTAGGAGCCATGTAGAGACATACTGGAGGGACGTTAATGCAATGAGAATCAAACGTCCAAAAAGAGACTTAAGACATTATTTAACACAAAATGATACAGTGCAATAGATGTGGTGTATTACCATTACATGATCGCAAAAGGAAAACCTACTTTACATTTTCTATAAACGAATGACAAGAAATCATAACAGCGATAAAACAGGGATAAAATACATATTTTTTTCATCATTTGCATTTTGTTATCATTTTGTGTGTTGCTAATATTATTTATTGTTGTATTTTTGAACGGATGGTATTCAAATCCTCACTCAATTATACTATACCAAAAAAAAATAGATGCACACACGTGTCTGAGGACATGTTGGCAGCCATGTTTACGTGCAGGTCGGTGGCAGAAGGCAGCAGACTCTGGGATACGTTCACAGTCAGTCCCATGGCTCTCTCTCCCCTCTGGAAGGAGTGGGACATCTGGGCGTCCAGCTTCACCCTGTCCTTCCCATCAGCCCTCACATGTACGGAGCTACTTCCTGTGCCACAAACTGCAGAAACGTCTGCAGTGGCCTGTACCTTAACGTGGAAAACATCACATTTAGAAGATAGCTTAGATGCTAAAATGCAGACACATTTTGTTATCTGACTTTTTATTTATTTGACTATTTTCGGACCACTGACAGACATTATTTTTGCAAAAAACCGAAGCAGTCTACCTCTAATGTTTTGGGTATCTTTGATTTGAAAGGATGGGTGAGGGAGGAATAAAGGCCGACTCTTCCTGATGATCCATTGAGCTGTACAGAAAGCTAAAGAGAAACAAACAAAAAATCCATAATTAACGCCAATTAAACATGCAATAATTACAATTCTGAGTTGTTTTTACTCACTTGGCATTCCTGTCGCTCTATTCTCAGTTTCCCTCCTGCCTGATAATCAAAGTCACTGTTGTTTTTGGGGTTCCATCCTACATTTCCCTCCACTATAGCGGAGGAGGGGAGCTGCAGCTGTAACAGTAATAACAGACAAGTGGTCACAAGTTCGGCCTTTTCTACTGTAAACTATACTGTACGCTGCTGGAGGTGGACTTGTTAGTTGTTAAGAACTTACAGCTATCTGTATGCATCATACATACTGTATAACAACTGGTTTTGTCTGTAGAATAATGATGGTAATAGTCTGCTTCACCTGGAGTAGATGGGAGAAGTTGGCTCTGACTTTTATCTCTTGGTGAGTTGAGTGCAAAGGGTTAAACTGAACTTGTCCAAAGAACGTCAGTCTCTCTTTGCTGCCGACCCGTAACCTTCCCTGTATGTCTCTCTGGGTCTTAAAAGGAAATGTAAAACATTTATTAAATACACAAATGTTCCCAACATTTTCTAACAGTATATAAGTTAGTGTACTTACTTACATTTGATCACACTTATAAAAATAAATAAATATGCTTATCCATTGTAATTCAATTAAATTATCCTACAACTCTGCAAGTTTCAGTTTGTCATTTACAAGTTTAATATCTTAATAAACATTGAACTTGAATTTAAGGGGACACGATACAGGAGAATAAGGTCAAACATGTAACTAGTAGATATCACCATGCTCATAGGCGTCATTTGCACTGGGGACGCGGGGACATGTCCCCAACACTTTTTGAAATGGCCAATTTTGTCCCCACCACTTTTTAAAAGTATAACTTGTAAATGTTCTGAAAAATAGCATGCAAAAAGAAATGTAAAAAATGTAAAAGAAAATATTGCTCTGGCTTTGCAGCAACAGAGTAATTCCTCCTTACTGTACTGACTCTAAAATGACCCAAAAACATACAGCAATGTTGTTTGGCCTGTTTGCCTGGCCCTGAAGTAAAGGTTGTCTTTATTTTCTTGTCCGAGAGTACCAGAATGCGTAGTTTACATGTTAAAAGGGGGAGGATCCCCCCAGACCCCCCTGCAGGGCTTCAGTTTGCAAACATGGTTTTCACAACATGTGAGTGTGCATTTGCGTCGCTGTGGAGAACAGGCGTGTTCAAGACTCTTAAAGAAAGACGGAGAACATTGGCTTCCTCAATAATTTGCCCCTGGCCACACATCTATAATGGTTCCTACGAAAACAGTCTGTAGCCTGAAACTGTGAATCCTGTCTATACACGTGTTGATAGCAAATAGTAAGGAAATGGGTGTGTACAAAAAAAGCAATACAGTTTTATTTTTATCTGAAAAAAAGTGTCCCCACCCCATGAGCATGCTACTTCCCCAGTAGATAACATACATTAACGCAGTTACTTTTTGGTTTATTTGTCATTTTCTAAAATGTTGAAATATGCATTATTAAACGCTAAGTTTTTGGTTATAAGCACTTAATGTGTGTGTATTTTGGATAATTTAGTTTTACTAGTCTCAAAGAAGAAATGTTATAGAAGCAAAATAGCCAACATTTTCAATATTGACCAGAGAAGATATTTCTGTATCCAGACACCTTAAAACCGAAGGAAAGAAGAGTTGAAAATGGAGTAAAAGGATATGTATTAAAATGTCATTACCTTTTAAATAAATAAAGAGGTTATTTTTTTTATTGTGAGCGTTTTGAGTTTAGAAGGCTGGCAGCTTACCTGGTTGCTGGTTAGGGTCACGCAGACTTCTGAGTCTGATGGAATAGTGTCAGAGCCGAAAGGATGGACGAGTGCAGAACAAACCTAAACATGGAAAAAGCCAGAAAACATATCGATAATCGACTTGTGTCATGTGTGAGTCATAAATCAACATGTGTCAAACTTACAAAAGGGCTCGGTGGTTTGTAGCCGAGGGTGAGGGTGTGGATGACCTCTCTGTTGCCATGGAAACCCGCTTTGGACTCCAGGATGTAGAGGCCTTTGAGGAGGTCGACGGTGAAAGTCTCCCGTAGGAGGAAAGTCTGAGGAAAGGTCTGGAAGGGCTGTCTGTGCGATATGGCAGCTATTAATGTCAGCAACTGGCATTTTAACATAACGACAACATCCTAAAATACATCAACAGATGAAGTCCGAGTGAATCACAGACCTGAGCTGCAGCATGGCTCTTTTCTGATACATCTTCTTGTCCTTCCTCAGCTCCTCCACTACACCCTCAAACTCCAGCTCTGTGGACCGACTCTTCGGCTTCGAGAAGGTCATCTTCAGGATCGCTTGCCTCTTTTTCAAATTCTAAAAGAAGTGAGAAGATAATCATTTTCATCTAACTGAGCAAAAAAGACATAACACAGACAGAAATACTGACCAAAAGGAGACACAAAATAGGTAAAAAGAGACAGAATATGATCACAAAAAGAAGCAAAATGTCCAAGAAAAACAACCATAAAAGAGACACAAAAATATTACAAATGGGGAGAATATTGCCACAAAAAGCCAAAAACCTTTCAAAATAGACAGAATACAAAGAGACAAAAAACGTCCAAAAATAAATGCAAAATGACATAAAAGAGCTACAAAGAGCCACAAGTCACAAACACCATTAAAAAAAGAGCGGATTATAAACACAAAGAGACATCAAATCACTACAAAGACAGTCAAGAAAAAGTCTCTTTGAATCTGTGGCTCTGGTTTAACTGTGCTGTATATAGGATGGGCGGGGGCCCTTTACATGTCTGTGCCTGGGCCTAATGTCTCATATTCCGCCCATAATCTAAAAGCATTTCAGTAATAATCCCACCCTTCCACAGACACCACCCACCTTGTCCACGGTGTTCAGGGCAGCAGAGAGGCTGGCGTTGTGCCTGCCGCAGGTGGAGGTCATGTGCAGGGTGTGGCTGGATTTATAGGCCTCCAGGGAGACGTCTCCTCTCAGGGGGGGGGTCCAAAACGAGCTCAGAGAGCCGGAGGCCTTCACACCGTGCTTCCCCACCACGGCCCACCCCCCTGCCTGGGGAGGGACAGGAGGAGTGAGAAACACAGTGGAAACTTTAGGTAAAATGTTCATAGTGTTATAAATGAAATCGCTAATGGAGCATTTGAGTGATATCATTAATTATTTAAATAAGTATTTTTGCTTAATATGTGTAACCTTTCTAGTGCATTATTTTTTTTTATTGATATATTTGTGTGACCTTTATTATTAATTGTTGTTTATTTTAATCTATTTACCTTGTTCATATGGTGCCTTACATCTTTAAAATAAAGTTTTAAAAAACTGATCTCCTCTCATCTCAATCAATAACATTGTATTTATATACTCTACACCAGGGGTGGCCAACCCGCGGCTCTCGAGCCGCATGCGGCTCTTTGCCTAGTTTCATGCGGCTCTTCAGTTCATATCGAATTTTATATGTGTGAGTTTGGGGGAGAGACACTGACTCCTGACTAGTGTTGCACGGTGTACCAATACTTGAAAGGTACCGCAATACCCTGCCGTTAAAAACGTTACGATTCCTCCGTTTCATTAGTATCGGTACTTTAAGAATGACGGAGAAAAGTACTCCGGTGAGAAAGCGCTGTTTTAATAAGAGCCGTGTGTGTTCAGCGCTCTGCTTCCACTCCCTGCACTGCAGCCGTGCCTGCAGCCCCTCCCTTCTCAATCACGCTCTAAGTCCCTCCCCTCTCTCATGCACGCGCTAGCTGCCAGAGCATGTGAGAAAACGAGAAGCATGGCTGCAAGTGGGAGTGCAACTGCCGCTGCGCCTCGGCCTGTCTGTGAGACATGTATTAATTGTATTTAATACGAATTCTTGTCATTTATTTTATTTATTGTTCTCATTGTTTAAAAGTTTGTGTTATGGTTATGGTTCTGGTGTGAAATAAAGCACAATAATTACATTTAAGACTGTTTCCCTTTTTTTAAGAAAAGTATCGAAAAAGAATCGGAATCGCAATTCTTGACTTGGTATCGAAACCAAAATGTTGGTACCGTGACAACACTACTCCTCAGAGTTAAACCTAATATTTAGTAGGTCTGTTAAGTATCGAATGCTGATCATTCTGACGTAATTTGGCCGGTCAAAGTTGTTTGGGCTCGGATAAAATCGCTCCGTTACTTTCGTCCTGTGTTACTTTCGTCCCGGCTCTACGTGTGTATGTGTGGTGTCATGTGTCAGTATGAGAGGATGCCAGCGCGTCTAATTTTGATGTGGCCCAAGAGCCAATCACAATAATACCTGCGATGCGGTGAACCAATCACCTTTGAGGGGGGGAAAACCTATCGTTGATTAAACATTATCCAGTGTTTCCCCTACCATTGTCTTGGAGGGGCGCTGCACCCCGCCAACGGAGCCCCGCGCCCCCCCTGAAATTCAAGGTGTTTAAAAAATATATATAATTTTATTTTTTTTAAATATATACATAGCACCAAATTGCAAATAATCTATAACTACTGTCACTTTTCACATTGAACATGTGCTCTTTTATTAAATAAACTAAACGCTTTCATTTCAAGTTGTGAGTTTAGTGTTTTTGACCCTAAGAAACACTGATGCATTAATCAATAACAATAATCCACAGCTCCTCTCTCTGCTCCAGAGGATTTAAAAAATATATATCCCAATGCCACAAAAATGCATCAGTGACGTGGTTGAAATCTTGTCTCCAGAAAACAAAAAACTGAAACAAGCGGTATCAGTGTGTTTGATGTGGCTCTTTGCAGTAACATAGAAAAAATGTGGCTCTTAACCTCTGACTGGTTGGCCACCCCTGCTCTACACACACACACACATTACACATTTGTCTCAGTCAGCAGTTGTTATAGTGTGTACAGCACACAACACCTCGCAATAACAAGGAGAATCCCCCCAAATAAACCCACAATTAATAGGACAAAAAATGAAGACACTTTGGGAGAGAAACAGAGGATGTCCTTCTCACAGGACCAGGTGTGTGTAGATTAATAAAGATAATACAACTACACAATCATTTCACAAATAATAAGAATGATATGAACGTATATAAATAAGTTAGATTGTTAATATCTCCCAGGCGTGTTCCCCCCCTCCCTCACCTGGATGTACTGAGCGGCTGCTGTGCTGATCTCCAGGCGGGCCTCCCCCCCCCGGCCCCGGCTCCTGTAGAGAGCCTCCAGCATGAGGGTCCGGATGTTCAGCCACTTGCTGGCGGTCAGCTCTGAGGTGAGCTGGAGGGAGTGGCTCTGCTGCTGGGTCAGTCTGTGGGAGGTGAACACGTACAGCCAGGGAGAGTCCATGGTGAGGCTGCCTGGAGGAGAAGAGACAGGATTCTGACCAGGGCCTCACTGCCAACACACTCCAATTACAGTCAGATAGAAATGTACCGGTAAATGTTGATAATAAAAATACATTAATTATACATTAGGTTCTAAATCAAACATCTTATTGTTTTTTTGAGAGTGTCTGTAGTACTACGATAAGATATGATAATATATGATATCTGATAAACAAGATACAATACGAAAACGATAAGATATACGATATGCAATATAAAATAAAATATACAATACGATATGCGATATACGATATACAATATATGACAATATAAAATACAATATATGATACGATATACAGTATACGGTATAGGATATCAAGATACGATATACGATGCGATATGATATACGATGATACGATATGATGTAAGATGCGATATATATAATAATAATAATAGCTTGGATTTATATTTATATTTAGCGCCTTTCATGAGACCCAAGGTCGCTTTACAAAGAAGAACAGGAGTAGAAACAAACATAACAAAAGGCAGTCAGACAAACAGTCAGACAAAACAACAAATAGATTAGGGGCCAAAGGCCTTAGCAAACAGATGGGACTTGAGGGCCCTTTGAAGGCGTCATGCTGGATGTTGCGGATCTCCGCAGGGAGAGCGTTCCAGAGGGTGGGGGCTGCCACACTGAAGGCTCTGTCCCCGAAGGTTCGCAGGTTGGTGCGGGGGGTGGTAAGCAGGCCAGAGTCTGAAGACCGCAGGTTCCGAGGTGGGGCATGTGGGCGGAGGAGGTCCGATAAGTACTGGGGGGCATGGGCATGGAGGGACTTGTAGGTGAGCACAGTTTTGAACACACTGGAGCCTGACCAGGGTTTTGTTGGGGTCCCCAAACAGGACACCATTGCAGTAGTCCAAGCGGGAGGTGACAAAAGCATAGACTAGGGTTTCTATATGATACGATATACGATATGCAATACACGGTACAATAATTGATAAGACACAATATATGATACGATAAACTCTACGATAAACGACATACGAGGTACGATATCCGATATGACATAGGATAGACGATACAATATGATATACAATACGATATATGTTACGATAAACAATACGATAGGATACAATACAAATACGATTGACAAAAACGATACGATAAACTATTTAATATGATAGGCTACAATACGATATGAGACAAAATAATACAATATATTATTATTAAACACAATGATGCTTTAAATAACTATAATCCTTTGTTAAAAGACCATTAAACATAGGCAACAAGTTTAACTCTATCTATGTCAAATTAAATATAGCTGTTTACCTTCCCATTTCCTCAGCGAGGAGCCTTTGGGGGGGCTTTTCCAGTGTAATCCGGCCACCAGAGGCATCAGGTTGTTGTAATGGATTTTGAGATGAGTGCTGCTCTCTGAACCCAGCTGTTTCAGGTGAGAGTGCATCAGCTGGGTTCGGTAGTTCAGATTCTTCTCTGGGACCTGGAGACTGAACTGGGTTCACCAGAGGAAAGATTTTACTGTACTTTGGACATAAAAGATCAATTTCATGCTTAGAAAATTTAAATATAAGGATTATTTTTATTATATATGTGCGGTGGTTTGGAATAGTTCTGTTTACCTCCAGTGTGTAGCTGGTGTGGTTTTGTGTGGATTGGTTTTTGAAGGACTGGCTCAGTAGAAGTGTGCGTTTGTTGTTGATCTCGTCCCAGTGTTTGCCGTAGCTCACGTCCAGGGACGATGTAATGTGGACGGGGCTTTCCTCGTGGCGGAGGTGGATCTGCAGACACAGAAAAGAAACAAAGAGCTCTGTTCGGAAGCTATATAATAAGATTTCTCAGCATTTCCACTCATGATTTTCTATACGAATGGTGCATATAAAGAGATATATTGAAACAGCAATTGACCTAAAAGGACAGAGAAGTTGTTGGTGTTGAGTCTATCAGTTTGTTTGTTTGTTTGTTTATTTGTTTGTTTGCTTGTTTTGTTGTTTGACTATCCCAACAAAAGGAAGTCACGCTATGTCACAAACTGACTTTGCAAGGCAGCTGTAGACGAACAACTCCCATGATCTTGGAGATAAAATTACTGTTTTTTTCAACAAAGTATGGTGGCTTTGGGGAGGTCTTAGATAACAGATGCACTTTCCTTGTAAAAAAAACTATCTGACGGCAAGGTCAACCGTTGGAAATATTTACAATATAGCATACATTTAAAGCGTTATACTTTTATATAAAGTGAGCCTTTCTTTAAGCTGGCAAAAATACATTTCGCACCTGCCTCTGTCCACAGCAATACATTGGGTTTTTTGTTTTTCACAAGCTGTAACTACTTGTTTTTCAAAACTGGGGGCATGATGACCATCGTCCACTGTAGGTTATACAGCGACTTTATATTAGTGCCTCATAACCCCACAAAATCCAGACTACCCTTTACCAGCTTGTGTGAGATCACACAGTGGGTTTCAGGTACCTTGTGGTTGATGGGAGCCGTGTTGGAGCAGTAGAATTCATGTTCTGCTCTCATGATGTAGGTGAGGTTTGAGTCCCTCTCCCTCCTTAGTCTCTGAGACGTGTAGCACTCCTGACGCAGGTGCCGGGCATCACCTGTGCAGGGGTCAAAGGTCAGGGAAACTGAAGTTTTTGTGAGCTAAACATTATACCTGACGGGGAGAAACTTGATGTAAAATTGCTCAATTTCCTCCAAACATTAACAAGAGCCCTTTTTTTTTAGGAAGAACAGATTTTTTTGTGGTAGTAGCTTTAAAAAAACGTGGATAGGCAGTTGGTCCGAAGAAGGAGAAATTCTGCTGCTGAGTTTTCCAAAATACAGAAACAAAAAAGATCTGTTAACCTTTGCAAATGACACTTTAACAATCTGAAGGAATAGAGCAGCACCTTAGTACCATTTCCTTTTTAAACACTAACCCATATTATATTACCATTGATGGAGTTAAAGCAGTTAAATACCGTCCCTTTTCCTAATTGCAACCTTTCCCACTAAAGAGGACTATTGGAGGATTCTTAATTTTTTGTATGGTTTTAGGCATACTGTTCCTTTACTTTTTTAGAGTTTACTCCTGCTTTTTTCTTTTTTGCAACTTCATTTCTCTGGTAATATTATGAATTCACCATTATACACCAAAGCAAATTCCTTGTCTGTGTAATAAACCTTATACTAGTGTGTGGCTTCTCAAAATGTACATATTTTAGTAGCTCACCTCCTAGACCATATTTGAGCCTGAGCGCGGAGCTCCACACTGAGCCCTTCTGCTCCATCAGACCCAGCATCCTGGTGCCCACCACCCCAGGTAACAGGAGCTCCGCCTCCACAGAGTACTGCCTGCTGCTGGCATCCCGCCTGCGCTCCAGGGACACTGATGGAGGAACGAACACAGCTAAACCACATGTCAAAGGTAAACATTCTAAACAGCATAGGAACAACTTTTACAGGGATTCCTTGGCCCATCCACACGGTGGCGTGCGTTGAAGCTTCAACGCAGCTTCCCATTCACTTTGAATGGGGTGACGTCCCGCTTTGCCGAACTGCATTGTGGTTCCGTCGCGGCGCTTTGCCTCTACGTTGCTCGCTTCAAAAGTAGAGAAAAGTTCAACTTTTCAAACTTCGACGGAAGCGTCAGCCAATCAAATCATATGCCAGCGTGGACGCTGCGTAAACCTCAGCTATCATGTGAGTTAGTCACCAACTGGGGCCAACGGTTATTTTGTAATTTCAGGGATGTTCCATAAACCTACATTTTCTACCAGTATGCGGCAAATTCACTGGTTAATAATTGTTTTCGGATTGCATAGAAGTCTATGAAAAAATGACCCTACTTGTAACTTGATTTGTGACTTAGGGTAACATTTTCTGAATAATACATTTATGGTAAATATTATGTCAAATGTAAATGTCGAAAATGTATATTATATATATTATATTAGTTGCATACCCGACAGTGATGCAGTTTCTCTGAACACATTCTTCACAGTGGCGGAGAAGCTGGTTTTCCTGCCCAGTCCACGTGTAACATTGGCAGAGAGGATCATGGGAAGTCCATCAGCGGCCATTTTGGCTTCAAGGTGATAGCGCGTCCTCTGCTCTGACAGCAGGGTGTGAGTGTCCACCAAACCCTAGAAATAAACTAATTAACATATTTCATGACTAGACATGTAATCTTATCACATAGAATACACAATCTCAATACTTGCCATGACGTAATAGTGAACACCATCAATTATAAGCTCCAGCTTCCCTGACTTTACGTTCCTCTCTTGTTGAAGTTGCCCTGAAAAAACAACACATTTTCAGTATTAAACCCTGAAAGAAGTTTTTTTCCCATAATTCCCCTCTGCGACTGACCTTGTATGTGGATGGTTTTCAGAGGGTGGGTGATCCTCAGCATCAGTCTGTGGGGGTTGAAGGTCAGGTCCAGAGACATGTCCCTGGGGATGGAGGACTGAGGTGTGGCCAGGAGGAAGTGGATGGAGGCCTCTCTGGGCAGCCAGGTGCCTCTCTGAAACACAAGTTGTGTGGCTAGATAAAGAGATCTCACACAGGGGAATACAAAGAATGTAGCTTCTTTTCTCCTACCTGAGGGCGCAGTGAGTAGGCGGCCTCCAACATGTAATAATGGAGGCCTCGGTCAAGCTTCAGCAGGCGGAGGGAGAGGTGGACGGGTCCTGGAGCAGGAAGTGAAACCCCTGGGGCAGCCGATGGGTACGAAGCGTTGGAGCACAGCTGCCAGCCAACCATCTTGGACCCTGCCAAGGAAGCAGAGATCAAACCGAATCTAACTTTTATAATCTGACAATCGTAGAAAGTAAGCCAACAGGTAAAATCCTAAATCGTCCTATCCCTGCTTCTGTGTGTGATGTATCAATCTATACAGAGTGTTGTGTTGGAGGACTCACATGTCTTTGGGGTGCAGGAGGTCTTCTGCACTCGACTCTTTGGCCCCCTGATCTCCTCTCTGTGGTCTCCACTGAGCTGAAACACTCTGGAGCTGGTCAACACACAAATGGACACACTCGCTGAAACCCTTGACATATCAAACACTGACTGATTGTCTTCAATTCAAATGCATTTATTAATTAGAAGATTTTGCAACCTGCTAAACATAATCTAGAAGAAAGAAAATGTGTACAAATAAGTGTAACGCAAAGTGCAAATGTGGTAAAAAATATGTATTAAATATTGAACCAATTCAACAATTACATTTTAAAAATCTTACACTAACAGCATCTCCAGGTCAAAACAATTATCACAGATCTATAGGACCTTAAAACGGCATCCTTCTAATATCTAGCAGGGGGTGACTCCATTGGTTGCATTAAAAGAAAAAAAAGGCTTATTGTATAAAAGTCTATGAGAAAATGACATTACTTTGCACTTCTTTTATTACCCCAGTAAATATTTTCTAATAATTTTATAGTCTCAATTTCTAGTTTGTAGTCTTTTTCAATACATCGTGATGTTAATTTAGTAAAGTTGGGTCCCATTTATAGTGAAATAGACGATAAAGCAGGAAATACTTTAGGGCCTATCTAATTAGCAGATCTCTACCACATGGTGTAGAACAGTTGGGGTGTTTTCGTCTTACAACTTTAACAGTGCATTTACAGTTTCAGAAAGTTACTTTTTGGATGCCAAAAAGTTTCGGTGTTTGTTTTTACTTAGCTTTACCCTCTTGTACCATTTCTGATTCTAAAAGATGACGAATGTAATAAAGGAACAAATAATTCTGGTAATAATCCACTGTTACCTGAGAGAGATGATGTCCATGACGTCCTCCGGTGTGTTCAGTGTGACCCGGACATCCCGCCCCTCCTGCAGCTGAACACTACCATCCAGACTGGTGGAGCTCCTCAGCTCAGAGACCCAGTCCACCGCAGCCTGACCCAGAGCACCGTCAACCCCCATCCTGGCCGACAGCCCCACGTAGGCACTGGGAATACAGACAGCAGTTACACTCTACCGCTTGTAACCAAATGTCAGAGTAGTAGCCCCTGTCAGATTATATGGAAGTACTTTGGTTTGATGTATCCGGTCAGGGAGAAGTGAGAGGTGTCCCTGTAGTTGATGTTGCCCTTCAGACGCAGTGACAGGAGGGAGGTCATGTTGATGCCCAGTTTGATGGGTAAACCGGACAGAGACGGTAAAACCAGCTCGTCTGTCATCAGCACGGCCCGGTGGTTCAGCTGGACTTCCTGACCCTGGAGGACAGAGAGTGTGTGAGAAACTGACAGGAGGGTAAACAGACAGAGACTAGCTCAAGTAAGACTAGGAGCATGGACTGAGGTTAACCTGTTAGGCTCGAAAATAACATTTCCAGAACATATTCCCTTCTAAATGCGAAAATTAATAATCTTTTTTCTCAAAGCAATGATAAACCTGTGAGTTGGATGTAAAAAAGTCAGAATCAATATAGATGATTTTTATTTTAAAGAAAATTCAGATTGAACATGGTAAAAAACTGTAAATGAAAGTGTCCGTCCAAAAATTATTTTTTACTTATATTGAAAACTATAGGTTACTTAAGTAACCTCAGTTCTCAGAGTAACATGAAGTGAGATGTCTCACTATGGGATGCGCCTCAACGCGTATGCAAACAGAAGCATCAATCTCATTACGCCAATCCTGATTGGCTGGTGATCTTGACGTCAACGTCAGGGAATCCACCCACCCTTTAAAGGAATGGTATGCTCATGACACTCATTTTTAAATAATTATCATCCGATAAAACAGACCAGTCTCTGCCAGTCTTTTTTCTTCTTTTTTTTAATCCGATGACATTATCAGTGATTTTAAACTGATTAATTACCGAAATAACATCAACACTGTGGGCGGCGCCATTTTACCGGACGTGACGTAAACCATGCGTTTGGTTTCGAGGACACGTTGATGTTCATGTTATTTACTGTAGTTACTCTCTTCAAATATGCCTCATTGTATCGCGAAACATTGCCACAATTCTGATAGGAACAATCCACAGAATGCTCGGTTCCATCTGTTGCCAAAAGGTAAGCGTAGGAAGTACGTTCGGAGGCAGTGGCTAGCGAAATGTGGCCGGCCCGAACCGAAAGATCCACAGGCGCATGTATGCAGCGAACATTTCAAGTTTCCGGACGACTACTCTGAGAGTATGATAAAACATAACATGGGATTTATTGAACAACCATTACTTAATGGAGATGCAGTACCATCGGTCTTTCTGGTGTCATCACCGACCAGGACACCAGTTCGGCCAGTTGAGAAATCGCCCTCTGCAAGTGTGAAGCGACGGAGGACCAGAAGTAGTGCTCGGAGTAAGAATAAGGTATGTTATAGCGCATTTCCATTGCAGCGGGTAGCCCCGTTTAAACGTCCTTTATCGTCCAGGCCAGGCCAGTTTTTGGTGGCCTTTCCATATAGCGTAGTACCGGCTAGTGGGTATTTTCCCCCAGTTTTTCCGGCCCCATAAAATCGTGGTTCTAGGGCCAGGGACAACGAGGCTGAGTATGCTAAACTAGAGAGGGAATCGCTAGCAAGGGTGGTACTACATGCATACATATCTAGTAATCAAAATCATTGTATCTACTAAGTAGTACTAAGTAGGCTCGAACCTGTATGGCTGAATTCCCCCATCCAATCTCTTCATATTGCTCAAAACTTCGCCATGTTTTCGTGTGTTTACAAAGTGAACGCATGGATGACGTCACGACCATCACGTGACTACTGAAAATGGGCAAAATGGCAGCGGCCTGACGGAATATACAGGTTTTGATCAAAAAGAGCTATAAAATCATTATTTACCGGGGAATATCGCTGATTTCTTCAGGGTATGGTTTAAACATAATGTTTCACTAAATACTGAAGTTTTGATTAATTATCTAATGAGTGGAGCATTCCTTTAAGTAGCTTGCGCTACGACGCAGCGTCATTCAAAATAAGCACCTCTTCTTGCTTCGCCTTAGCAAGAAGGGCCGTCTGGTGAGACATCTCACTTCATGTTACTCTGAGAATTGGGGTTACGTAAGTAACCTATAGTTCTCATTCATAACACTCCGTTCGATGTCTCACTATGGGATATTGAAACTCCCGTATTGCTAGACATGCTTATCTCGAAAATCACCAAAACAACCAGAACTTAACAGGTAGAACTCTGTCTCAACACGGGGCCCAGCACTGCACGGGCCACACATGGAGCAGAGACATCTAGCCTGTAAAAGCGGACAAAAGTGAGCGGCGAGGACCAGCTCGCTGCTGCACAAATGTCTTGGATGGAAACACCCTTGAACAAAGCCCAGGATGTAGCTAGTCCATGAGTAGAATGAGCACGCAGGCCCGTTGGTGCCTGCAAACCCTGACTCGTATAAGCCAGAGCAATCGCTTCCACAATCCAGTGGGAGAGCCGTTGCCTGGTAACGGGCTTGCCCTTCTGAGGGTTAGCCCAGGATATAAAGAGTTGGTCATTACAACGAAACTCTTTTGACCTGTCCATATAGATGCGTAAAGCACGAACTGGACACAGCAAATTCGGCCGCTGTTCCTCAGAGGAACACAGCGGCGGAAGAAATGCCACAATGTCAATGGGGGTACATGAGCCAACCACCTTAGGTATAAGGTGTGCATCTGGACCCGGTGACGACATTACCTATTGACGCAGCAACCACTGTAAGTTATATTCTTGTTTAATTAGACTTCTCTGTTTCATTTATTCGACTCTGTATAAATTGTTATTGTAGCGTAAACGGCTAAATCGCGTTTGAGAGATTTTAAATCTCAGATCTGCTCAGGCGAAACCTGCTTTACAGGTCTCAGCACTCAAGCCTGCATTAATATAGGCACGGCCAGTCTATTGTCGCCCATCAGCTGTAGATAGTTAACTAATTAGAGGGCCGTGGCCCTACAGCTGTGAGAACTGAGCAATCAGGCGTCCATTTCGGGTAGCTCTTTCCTGGAGCGTCAGCTTCAGCGTCAGACAGCCGAAGACTGACAAAGACATTGGAGTCCTGCGGGAGTCTCTAAGACTGACAAAGACATTGGAGTCCTGCAGGAGTCACGAGGGAGGCAAAGAGGAGGCAAATCCTACTCTGATCGAGCTGGTGTCTTATTTCTCTTTTCTTTAGTTTTCTAGCCCCGCATGCTATAATCATGTGTATTTTCTCTATTCCTGTTCATGTGTCTTCTCGCAATTATCACTGGCCCCGTGTATCTCCTAATCGATATAACCGGCCTGCTCTCGTCTATCCCACGTGCTCCACTGAGATCCAACATCTAGTTTCTGGTGGCCTGTGGAATTGCCAGTCAGCTGTTCCTAAGGCTGACTTCATCTCTGGCTACGCCTCCCTGCAGTCTCTGGATTTCCTTGCTCTACTGAGACCTGGATTACTCCATCCAACACATCCACCCCAGCAGCTCTCTCCACTGCATATTCCTTCTCCCATACACCCAGACCCACTGGCAGAGGAGGTGGCACTGGTCTCCTGCTCTCTCCCAAATGGAGCTTTTCCCTCTTCAAGCTACCTAACTTCACTCCTTCCACCTTTGAATTCCATGCCGTCACAGTAACCCATCCTATACAGTTAACCATTGTTGTTCTCTACCGTCCACCAGGCGCCTTGGGGGACTTCTTGGAGGAATTAGATAATCTCCTCTCACTCATCCCTGAAAATGGCCCTCCCGCTGTACTTCTCGGAGACTTCAACCTCCAGACGGGGAAGATAGACGAACTAACATCTCTGTTAACCGCCTTTGCTTTCTCACTGTCTCCGTCCCCACCGACTCATAAAGCTGGCAATGTCCTTGATCTCATATTCTCAAGGAACTGCGCTACTTCTAACCTCTCTGTAAACCCGCTCCACACATCCGATCACTTCTTCATTTCATTCTCTCTATCCCTTTCCAAACATAACAAACTAATCTCTTCTCATCCTGCACTTGTCCGCCGTAACCTTCGCTCCCTCTCCCCCTCTAGCTTTGCCTCGTCGGTGCTCTCAGCCCTCCCTTCCTCTGATTCGTTCCATCTCCTGCCTCCAAACTCTGCTGCAGAAACTCTCCTCTCTACTCTCTCATCCACTCTGGACTCGCTCTGTCCTCTCACATCTCGGCAGGCTCGTCAGTCCCCTCCTGCTCCCTGGCTAAATGATGCACTGCGTGCTAATAGAACCGTCCTTAGGGCAGCAGAGCGGAAATGGTGGAAATCCAAACACTGTGACGACCTCCTAACCTATCAGGCTCTCCTCTCCTCTTTCTCTGCTTCGATCTCTCAGGCAAAAAGCACTTTCTTTCAAGATAAGATCCAATCTTCCTATTCCAATCCTAAAAAACTATTTTCCATCTTCTCCACCCTCTTGGACCCTCCAAAAGCTCCTCCCCCCTCCTCACTTCTGTCAAGCGACTTTGTTACCCACTTTGAAAAAAAGGTTGATGATATTCGCTCTTCTTTTTCTGACTCACCTTTACTCACCGCTGGGTCACCAGACCCTCCTTCCACCAACACACTTACCTCCTTTTCCCCTCTCTCTCCAAGTGAGGTTCTTACCCTCATTACCTCTGCCCGCCCTACCACCTGTCCTCTGGACCCTATCCCTTCAAACCTCCTTCAGACTATCGCTCCTGATATTCTACCGTTTCTCACCCATTTCATCAACACTTCTCTAACTTCTGGTCACTTTCCAAACAGTCTCAAGGAGGCAAGAGTAAACCCTCTCCTAAAGAAAACCACTCTCAACCCGTCTGATGTTATAAACTACAGGCCTGTCTCTCTCCTCCCGTTCCTGTCTAAATCACTTGAACGCGCTGTCTTTAAACAACTCTCCTGTTATCTCAAGCAGAACAACCTTCTGGATCCGCACCAGTCTGATTTCAAGGCAGGTCACTCCACAGAAACTGCTCTCATTGCTGTCATGGAGGAACTGCACACTGCCAAAACTGCATCCCTCTCCTCTGTCATCATCCTATTGGACCTGTCTGCTGCATTCGACACGGTGAATCATCAGATCCTCCTTCGCACTCTCCAAAAACTTGGAGTTTCAGGCTCTGCACTTTCCCTCCTCACCTCATACCTGAAAGACCGTACCTACAGGGTGACTTGGAGAGGGTCTGAGTCCGACCCTTGTCAATTAACTACGGGGGTCCCTCAGGGCTCTGTTCTTGGTCCCCTCCTCTTCTCCCTGTACACAAACTCGCTCGGATCAGTCATTAGCCCGCATGGTTTTTCTTACCACTGCTA